AAGTGAGAGTTGTCTGTTTTGTTTTTTCCATTGGGAGGATTTTCTTTTTTTGTTGTTGTTTCCCTTTTCCCTCTCCCTCTCCCCTTTCCCGGTGTGTGGGAAGGGGGGCCCAGTTTTTTTTTTGTTTTCTCTGACACACCTCAGAGGGTGTTCTTCTTCACACCCCCCCCCCGCCACATGGCGGCGACCAGGGATCCAACAGTGCCGCCTGGTGACTGGCACAGGACATTACAAGCTCTGAATCTCCAGTGACCCAACGGCACCCCCTGTTGACTGTGGTTGGAGTTGCACCAAAGGGCACAAATTGAACTGTTTACTTTTCCCTTTGCCTCTTTATCGGTTGGTTTTTGAAGGGGATTATTTGTGAGTATAGGAGTATTGTTTGGCTGTTTTATTTGTTTCTTTTTGTTGTTTCTGTTAATACACACATATCTATTAATAAAGGGCTGTTATTTTTTCCTTTTCCATAATTTGTTTTCTCTCAATCGGAGCCTCTTAATTTTGGATTTTTAATTGCTTAGAGGGAGGAGTTTGGGTCTTTTCTCATAACTCATCCTCAGCAAAAGACCTGTGTCTCATTTAAAGTGGGACACGTTATTGATACTGTTGCTGTTACTTTCGTATCTCATTGCTGTTTCCAGTAAATTGTTCTCATCTCAACCTGCGGTTGTGTGGTTTGGGAGAGTCTTGGTGGGGGCACTGAACTGGGGAGTACTATTCCTAAACCATGACACACTGTCATAAGCCAACCCTGGTGGGATGAGTCCTGTGACTGGAGTGCCATGTTGGATGGTTACTGTCTCTTTAGGAGAGATAGGCAGGGCAGGCAAGGCAGGGTGTGGCATTGTATGTAATGGAGGGGCTGGAATGTATGGAACTTGCAGTTTGCAATGGGACAATTGAGAGCCTCTGGGTAAGGATTAAGAGACAAATAATGCAGATGCTATAGTAGGAGTCCAGTATAGAGCACCCAGCCAGGACAATGACACCAATCGTAGAATCATAGAATGTTAAGGGTTTGGAATGGACTTTAAAGGTCATCTAGTTCCAACCCCCCTGCCATGGGCAGGAACACCTCCCACTAGACCAGGTTGCTCAAGGCCCTATACAACCTGGCCTTGAACACTGCCAGAGTTGTGGCATCCACAACCTCCCTGGGAAACCTGTTCCAGTGTCCCACCACCCTCACAGTGAAGAATTTCTTCCTAATATCTGACCTAAATTTCCCCTCTTTCAGTTTGTACCATTTACTACTTGTCCTAGCACTACAGTTCCCGATGAAGAGTCCCTCTCTGGCTTCCCAGTAGGCCCCCTTCAGTTACAGGAAGGTTGCTATGAGATCTCCAAACAACCTTCTCTTCTCCAGGTTGAACAGCCCAAATTTTCCCAGCCTGTCTCTGTAAGGGAGGTGGTCCAGTCCTCTTATTAACTTTGTGGCCCTCCTCTGGACTTGCTCCAATAGTTCCATGCCTTTTTTGTGTTGGGGGCACCAGAACTGCACCCACTTCAGGTGGGGTCTCACAAGTGCAGAGTAGAGGGGCAGATTCACATCCTTTGACCTGCTGGCCACGCTTCTTTTTCTGCAGCCCAGGATTCAGTTGGTTTTCTGGGCTGTGAGTGCAAACTGCTGGCTCATGTTGGGTTTCTCATCAACCATCAACCTCCAAGTCTTTCTCCACAGGGCTGCTCTCAATCACTTCTCCACCCAACTTGTAGGTGTGCCTGGGATTGCCTTGACCCAGGTGTAGGACCTTATACTTCACTTTCTTGAACTTCATGAGGTTTGCATTGGCCCACCTGTTAGAGTCCAGATTTGTATCTCGCTGAGTTGTTTGAGTGATGGGTTGAATCAACCATCTTGTCTGTCTGTGTGTGTGTTGGGGGAGGGGCCATGGTTGGGCCTGCAGCCTCATGGCAGTAAGGCACATGGCCTGCAGCCAATATGGCTGAGTCTATGGAGCCCACATGGCATGTGAGCCACGTGGCTGGGCTGTCAATCAAGGAAGGCCTGACTGGTAGCCCACCCACATCACAACCCCTGGAGCCTCTGATTGGCTACAGCACCCCTCACTTCAGCTAGGAGGACACTGAATGGTCAGTGAACAAAATGTCCTGCCTGGAGGGAGTGGCCATGGTAGCCAAACTCTCTGTTAAACAGAGACACACAAGGTCTCCATCTTGCTTGGCCTGCTCTCCTGGAACCTGCCAACATGTGACCTCTTGGTGGTAACTATATTTTTCTTTCCTCTCTTTTTTTCTTTATTCTTTCTTCTCTTAATCTCTCTTTTCTTCCTTTACTCTTTTTTCCTCTTGTGGGTAACTTAAAACCTACTGAGTGGTATTTCACTTAAGTTGTGGGTTGGTGTTTGCTGGGTGCAAAGAATCCACAGCGATGCCTACTGGCTTGTAAAACCCTTGTGGGGGTATAGAGACGTGGACAATGAGCCATTGACCACAACTTTTTGTGTGCAGCATCCAACCAGTTCTTTATCCAGAGTGGTCCATCCATCAAATCCATGTCTCTCCAATTTGGAGACAAGGACGTCATACAGGACAGTGTCAAATGCTTTGCAGAAGTCCAGGCAGACAATGTCAGTTGCTTTGCCCCCATCCGCCAATGCAGTAGCATTACTTTGTGAGTTAATGAAAAACACCTGAAGGACAACACAGTCAACGGTCACAGCCAGCATGCTTCAAGAGCAGAAAGTCCTGCTTGTCAAACTTAATTTCCTTTTACTACAAGGTAATCAACTTCATTAACTCAGGGAAGACAGTTTGGGATTTCAGTAAGGCTTTCGATACTCTCTCAGGATCCTTCTGGACAAAATGTCCAGCACACAGCTGGATAAACAGGTCATGTGATGGGTAAGCAACTGGCTCTCAGGTTGGGCACGAAGAGTAATAGTGAATGAGGTAACATCAGGCTGGCAAGCAGTCACTAGTGGGGTTCCACAAGGTTCCATCTTAGGCCCATTTCTCTTTAAAATCTTCATAAATAACTTGGACGCAGGACTCGAAGGGATGCTAAGAAACTTTGCAGATGATACAAAGCTGGGGGGGAGCTGTTGACTCCCTCGATGGTAGGGAGGTCCTGCAGAGAGACCTTGACAAATGAGAGGGCTGCACAATCACCACCCTTATGGAGTTTCACAAAGACTCTGCACCTGGGACAGGACAACCCTGGATGTATGTACAGACTGGGGAATGAGAGGCTGAAGAGCAACGCTGCAGAAAGGGACCTGAAGGTAAGTTGAATATGAGTCAGCAGTGTGCCCTGGCAGCCAGGAGGGCCAAGTGTGTCCTGGGGTGCATCAGGCAAAGCATCGCCAGCCAGTCAAGGGAAGTGATTGTCCTGCTCTATTCTGCACTGGTGCAGCCTCATGGCGAGTACTGTGTGCAGTTTTGGGTGCCACAATATATTAGCTATTAGAGAACATCCAAAGCAGGGCAACAAAGATGGCAAAGGACCCAGAGGGGAAGCTGTATGAGGAATAGCTCATTCAGCCTCCTCATGAGGGGAAGCGAAGGGGCAGGCACGGATCTCTTCTCTCTGGTGACCAGTGATAGAATCCAAGGGAATTGCATGAAGCTGTGTCAGGGGAGGTTTAAGTTGGATATTGGGAAAAAGGCTCTTTCCCCAGAGGGTAGTTGGGCACTGGAAAAGGCTCCTCAGAGAAGTGGTCACAGCACCAAGCCTGCCAGAGTTCAATAAGCATTTGGACAATGCTCTCAGACACATGGTGGGATTCCTGGGGTGGTCGTGTGCAGGGCCAGGAGTTGGACTCAATGATCCTTATGGGTCCCTTCCAACTCAGCATATTCTATGATTGCATAACATTTTTTATTCAATGCAAAGGTCATATAGTATGTGGTTATGTATGTATTATAGACAACAGGTTAGCAAAGGCATACAGTGCTTTCGGTAAACTCCATAAAAGAGTTTGACGAAACAAACACCTGAAGAAAAGTACAAAGATCAGCGTTTACAGAGCCATTGGACTCTCTACTCTTTTATATGGATCTGAATCATGGGTCATTTACCGCCACCACTTGCGTCTCTTAGAACACTTCCATCAGCGCTGCCTCCATACAATCCTAAACATCCACTGGACGGATTATGTGACCATGTCTGTCCTTGAACAGGCAGCAGTCACGAGCATTGAGGCCATGCTGCTGAGAACACAGCTGCATTGGGCAGGGCACATCTCCAGGATGCAGGACTGCCGCCTCCCTAAGATTGTGCTCTGTGGGGAACTTGCCACTGGCTGCCTCAAGAGAGGAGCCCCAAACAGGAGATACAAGGACTCCCTAAAACAATCCCTCAGCCTTGGCCATATTGATCATCACCATTGGTCTACCCTGGCCTCCAATCAGGAGGCCTGGAGACACACTATCTATAACGCTGCTGCCTCTTTTGAGAACACACGCAGGATCACTCTCGAGGATAAAAGACAGCGCAGAAAGAATCACGTCTTGTCGATATCACCTGGGGAGTCTTTCTGCTGTGCCTTCTGCAACCGGACTTGTCTATCTCGCATTGGCCTTTTTAGCCATCATCGCGCTTGTAGCAAGCGTGGGTAGAGCCCTTCTCAAATCTTCGTTCGCGAAGCCCAGCCATGATGATGATGAATATATTTAACTTCTCATGGCTAAAGTGTCTTAACAAATTTGCTTTCCTATCCTAGGCAAATATGCCTGGCTTAGACCACGTCCATCATCTACTAATACATAAGACATAAGGGAGCCTGTAACTTCAGTATGATGGCTTGAGGATTATAATAATCATTTTACTTATTAAACCTAAACAGGCACTTTGTTACACCTACATTTCCAACTTTATCTTGAGAAACTACTGTGTGTAGAGAAAGATAGTGGTTCCAACATATCTGAAAAATTTTAGCCTAGTGAATTAAATATGTTTCATATAATGTAAACAGTGAGGAAGACTTGTTATACAGCTCTGTTTAGCAAGGAAGATTTGTGTGCTTACCTCTAGATATGGGACTGCAGCTAAAGTGCATAAGGTTAAACTCCATAATAAGCTGCAAGGCGCTCTTTTAAGGGAAGAGGAAACTGGTCAGAGAAACGCTTCCAATTCTCATCTCCAACTTGATTTTTAAATCCATGAAGAATCTACAAATGAGAGGAGGGAGAGAAATCAAGATAATCATTAAACAACTGATACATGATCATTATTTACTAGCAGCATATGCAGTAAGCCACAAACTGCTGGATTGTGCATCTGTCCATTTGAATTCCTCAGTTTAATACTTAAATGTTACTAAGGAAAAAAGGAAGTCCAGGGAACTTCCTAGCCTGGCTCAGCCTTTGAAATAATACCCATTGCTGGTCCTCCATGTGCATGGTGATGAAGTCTCAACGCAGAGTCCAAGGGTGATCAAAAGAGACTAAGGCTTTGGGACAGTTGGTGAGGGAAGCAGGAACACAGGTTATTTTTTCCTCTGTTCTTCCAGTTGCAGGCAGTGACATTGGAAGAAACAGACAGACCCAGTCTATATATTACTCCATGGCTGCTGTCACCACTAAAATTTTGGTTTGTTTGATAATGCGATGGGCTACATGGCATCAGGCTTGATGGATTCAGACAGGATTCCCCTCTGTCAAAGAGGGAAGAGGTTCTTTGGTCAAGGGCTAGCAGGGCTTATTGATAGGGCTTTAAACTAGATATGACAGGGGAGGGGGATATTATCACGTTTAATGGTGATAAGGTAAGGGATGATATGCCATCCCACTCATACCAGTTAGATGCTAGAGCAAGCAAGAGATGCCCAGAGCCTAGAGGGGGATCAAAGGTCAGCCAGACAGAACCTGAAGGGCAGCACCAAGGAATTCCAGCCACTCCAGACAGAAAGTCAGCTTCATTGGGGGCCCAACTTTAATGCCTCTATGCAAACATACATAGCATGGGGAAAAAACAGGAGGAACTAGAGACGTGCAAACCTGCAGGACTATGATCTTATTGGCATCACAGAGATGTGGTGGGATGATTCTTATGACTGGAGTGCTGGAATGGAAGGATACAGGATTTTTAGGAAGGACAGGCAGGGTAGATGAGGAGGGAGTGTTGCCCTCTATGTCAATGACCAGCTGGACTGCATGGAGATCCATCTAGGGATGGATGAGGAGCTGACTGAGAGCTTGTGGGTAAAGATTAAAGGGAGGGCAGGGACAGATGACATTATAGTGTGAGTCTGCTACAGGCCACTCAACCAGGAAGACCAAGCAGATGAGGCCCTTTATAGACAGATAGGAGTAGCCTCAAGTTGACAAGCTCTGATCCTCATGGATGACTTCAACCACCCCAACATCTGTTGGAGGGACAACACAACAGGGCACAGGCAATCCAAGAGATTCCTGGAATGTGTTGATGACAACTTCTTCCTCCAAGTGATAGAGGAGCCCATGATGATAGGTGCTATGCTGGACCTTATTCTCACCAACAAGGAGGGACTGGTGGGGAACATGAAGCTCTTGAGCAGCCTGGGCTGCAGTGACCATGAAGCTCTGAAATTCAAGATCCTTGGGACAGCGAGGAGGGCGCAAAACAAACTCACTACCCTGGACTTCAGGAGAGCTGACTTTGGCCTCTTCAGGGATCTGCTTGGTAGAGTGCAGTGGGATAGAGCCCTGGATGGAAAAGGGGCCCAAGAGAGCTAGATGATATTCAAGGATGGTCTCCTCCAGGCTCAAAGGCAATTCATTGCTACAAAGAGGAAATCAGGGAAGAACACTTGTGTGGATGAAAGAGAAACTCCTGGACAAACTTAAACACAAACAGGTAGCTTACAGAGGGTGGAAGCAGGGAAAGGTAGCCTGGGAGGAATACAGAGAGATTGTCTGAGCAGACAGGGATCAGATTAGGATAGCTAAAACCCTGATAGAATGAAACCAGGCCAAAGACATCAAGGGTAACAAAACAAGCTTCTTTAGGTACATCAGAGATTAAAAAAAAAAAAACTGTGGAAAATGTGGGTCCTCTCAGAAAGGATACAGACCTGGTTACCCAGGACATGGAGAAGGCTGAGGTACTCAATTACTTTTTTGCCTCAATCTTAACCATCAAAAATTCCAACCACATTGCCCAAGTTGCAAAAGGTAAAAGCAGGGATTGAGACTGGGTTCAAGACCATTTAAGGGAACCTGAAGGTGCACAAGTCCATTGGACCTGACGAGATACATCCATGGGTCCTGAGGGAATTAGCAGAGGAAGTGGCTAAGCCATTGTCCATCCTATTTGAGAAGTCATGGCAGTCCAGTGACGTTTCCAATGTCTGGAAAAAGGGAAACATAAACCCCATTTTTAAAAAGGGAAATATGGAAGACCCAGGGAACTACAGGCTGCTCAGTCTCACCTTGGTGCCAGGCAGGATCATGGAGCAGATCCTTCTGGAAACTATGCTAAGCCACGTGGAAAAAAAGGAGGTGATTGGGGACAGCCACGGCTTCACTAAAGACAAATCATGCCTCACAAATTTGGTGGCCTTATATGATAAGGTTACAACAATGGTGGATGACATTAGATAGCAGGAAGAAATTCTTTATTGTGAGGGTTGGGAGACACTGGAACAGGTTGCCAGAGAAGTTGTGGATGCCCCATCCCTGGAAGTGTTCAAGGCCAGGTTGGACAAGGCTTTGAGCAACCTAGTCTAGAGGAAGGTGTCCCTGTCCATGGCAGTGGAGTTGGAACTACATGATCTTTAAGGTCACTTCTATAAGTGCAAGGTCCTGCACCTGGGCCAGGGCAATCCAAGGCACAAGTACAGACTGGGCAGAGAATGGATCCAGACTAGCACTGGGGAGGACATGGGGGTGTTTGTGGATGAAAAGCTTGACATGACACAGCAATGTGTGCTTGAAGTCCAGAAAGTCAACTGCATCCTGGGCTGCATCCAAAGAGGCATGGCCAGCAGGTCAAGGGAGGGGATTCTCCCCCTCTACTCCACTCTACTGAGATTCTGTAATTCTTTGATTTTAATGTCTTTCTTAAAGGAAAAAAAAACAAAAGCATTTCAGTTAACAGTGACATATACAATATAGCTACCCACACAGATTAGCATAAAAATATAAATATATCTTCTATATAAATATACACGTGTGTATGTAGTTTTGATGACTATGGTGACAACCTAGAGTTAGGCCAATCATTTTGTCAATTGACACAGTTTATATGTTAAGATTACTGTGTTCACATTTATTTTTTTAAACATGTAATATGTTCTGGGAGGAAAGCTGAGCCAGAACCACCGCCAGCATTTGACAGAATGAATGCCTATAAATTTCTTGCAAAAAAAAAGTATCCTGGGAGAGCTGTGTTTTTTCCATGGAACCTGTAGACAACTATTACTAAAAAGGAAGCTATTAAAATCTTTTGTGTTTTGAAAGAACAGAGATCCACAGCATAAGATGGAAAGAGGGGAAAAAAAAAATCAAATCTATAGGTTTCAGCCTGGACCCTCCAATGTAATAAATTAACTGAAAGCTACCAAAACTGAATGATACTGTCAAAAACATCTTAGTATTTTAGCTTGGAAATAGCAGGTTAAAAGGCAAACAAACAAAAGAATAAAACCAGATTAAATGGCTCTTCCTAATAGAAAAAAGTCTAGAGTCTTCAAAGTTTTGGGTTGTTTTTCTTTTTTAAACTCAAAGGTACTTAATTGTGGAACAGTCTGTCATGAAAACATCCTCACAGAAAAGGCAATGTCAAAATTAAAGCTCATGGTACTGAGTTCACCCTAAACACAATTTTCTAAGCAGAGCTGTTCCTAAACAGCATGAAGCAATAATAACATTACAGTGTCATAAGTTTTATTGCTTTTCTTCCTGAAAGGGACCTTCCACAGGCAGATTCACCTCTTTTCTAAGCAAAAGTCTGATTGTCCAGCTGCCAAGAAACTACCAAAAAAATCTAAGAATGTTCAGGTACAAAAAAAGGAACACTTTAAAAAAATTATCTTACAGGACTGTCATGGGTTTACTGACCACCTCTGCCGCTGGGGCTGAAAATAGTTTTCTCCAGGTGGGTTTCTGGAGAAAAAGCCAATCAAAAGTTTTAGTAACGCCTCTGCCAATTACATATTTAAGAAAACGGAAGAGAAGGTGGTTGCACAGATGAAATTGTAGCCATGTAGGAGAGGCGGCAGGCCCCACGTGGGCCAGGGCCCCCTCCTCCCCCGGCCCTGGGCCGTGGGCAGGTGTGGCACTGAAGCCCCCCTTCTCTCCTGTAACAGAGTAGAGAAAAAAAAACTTTAGAGAAGAACCTGCACAAGACGTGCTGCAAAAGGAATCCCAGAGAGAAAGAGAGCACAGCCTCCAAGGTCAAAGCTGGCAGCCGGAGGAGAGAGAAGAGTAGCTTGAAGGGGGGGCTGCTTTTCCCCCCCTCTCTCGCTCTCTCTCCCTTCAGCAGGGAAAAGACTGAAAACTAAAATCCCTGACACCTGTGGAAGATTATTGGGGTGAGGAGACCCCCTTGCAGCTCATAGAGGAGCTTACACTGAAGTAAGTGGATGCACAAGGAAGCTCATGGAGAGAGACCTACACTGGAGCAGAATGGCTCGGGTAAGATGTTGGGATCTGAGTGAGGATTCCATGCTAGTGCAGCTGAATTTGTGACCCGGAGGGACAGCAGAGAATGGAAGACCCCACATCGGACAGGTCTATCAAAGACTGTTCTCCTGTGGGAAGGGACCCCATAGGAAACAGGGGTGGACTCAAAAGCCATTATCTTTTGTGATCCTGTGGTGAAGATCCATGGTAGGCAAGTGTCCCCTTGCAGTCCATGGAAGACCCTACAGGGCCCGAGTAACCCCCCAGCCTTCGGTCTTAGCCCAGGAGGGGAGTAGGCCCAGCCCTGAGGCCGACATAGAAGAGAGAGAGAAACAGTTCCAGCTGCAACACATTGGAGTTGTCGTCCTAGAGATAATAGGAGAACTTTTGAGTGCTGCAAAATTATTTAAAAGACCTGGAGCTCCAGAAAGAGAGAAAGAGACTGCTTCTCCTCCTGAACTGGTACAAGGGGGAATGGATATTTCTGTAAATATATAGTATTTTTGCCTAATTAGAATTGTTGTAGATATAGTTCTTTAGTTTTTATCTTGCTAGTAATAAATCCTAATATTATTCTCCCCAATCAGGTCTCTTTTATCTGCATAAACCTTCTCAACCTATAGCAATTGTGTGGGGGGTGAGAGAAAATTGGCCTAGAGCAAACCCATGACAAGGACAGTTTTAGCAAGTGAGCTTCAGCTACAGTCTTCAGATATCTTGCTTTTATAAATCATGATACAGTTCTTTGGATACGTATCGGATCTCAACACTGGCAGATCATGTACCTGTGCTCTTGGAAGGGGTATTTTCTCTCTTAGCTCTAGTGCTCCAAAACCAACCAACCCAACCACCCCAAAAACCAAACAATGGACAATCCACTAGCAAGAAAAAGGCCTAGTGGGACTACAAATTTTTTTTCCCATTATTTCTAAAAGGCATAATTATTGTTGGAAAATATGTAAGTGGACTACAGTAATCACATATTCAAATAGCATAAAAACTCACTCCAATAAGGAAGTAATCTAAAAAATTTGTATGTCATCACTTGAAGAAAGCTTTGTCTCTGTCCTTGCATGGTAAAAAGCACAAAAAATACACTTAAGAAAGCAAGGATGTCCTGTGCTAAGTAACCAAGAAACAGTGTCTAGTTAGAATGCATTAGATCCCACGTGGATATAGTGGAAAGAATCTGAAAAAGAGGAGCATAGCTTATTGAAGCAAGTATTGAATGCTGAAGGACCAGGACAGAAACATGTACTGGAACTGCTTTGGACAACCACCACAGACAGCATCCTGGACTTTCTTTTAAGCTTGTATTTCTTGTTTTCTTCTGTTGATGCCAGAATACTCACAGTCATGCATTTCCTGACACTGATGTTCCTTCAAAGCCTCTCAGATAATTGTTCGCCTAACTAGGACAGGGAGATTTTTGTCTTTGCTCCTCAAGACAGGATTCAAATGTTCTAGTCCGTTCTGATGTATGCACCTGGAATTACTTGAAGAGGAAGTGCCAATACTGACCCATGATCCATGTATGTATTTAGAAATATGCTCCATTTTAGCTTTAAGAGCACCATTAACTTTTGACGTACATCCTTCCTAAAACCAAAGATTTCACTTTACAACATATGAGGAGAGCCATACTACTGAACAGTAACAGCTGTAACTGAAATAAGTTTATTTTATTCTGGTTTTTAACTGAAGACACTAGTGCCAAAACACAATATATTACTTTCTCTGTGTGTGGTTTTTAATTTTACACAAGACAAACAGTCTTTTGGTTTAAATTATATTGACACTTTGTCTAGGGATGCGTTCTTGGCTATCACTGTTTACTAGTTTCTTGAAGGCCTGCTTATCCAAGAGGAATTCTAGGAGGGTTAAGCAGTCCCAAAAATTTATTTTCAGCTAAAGCAAGATAAATAGATCAGGATACTACTGGAAGATTTTTCATTTTCATTTTTCTAGATATTTCTAAAAAAAAATATGCGTCTTGGGGTGGGGGGCAGGTCTTAAACCACACGTATCTCATTTTCTAGAAAAGGAAAAGAAATGAAAAAAAGTCTCCTATGTGGTATAAACCCCCCTGTTCTTCCAAATGCAGTCAAAATGTAGGAGGCTGGACATTATGAAAAGCTCTTTGAGGATGAATATCCTGTCAAATAAAATCTCAAGTGAACTTTTCAATGCTTTTAAAAAGAAATTTGGAATAGCCTGAAAGCATGTAAGAAAATATAGGTAAAACACTTTTATTATTTTTATGATGTTTTGTTTGAAAGTTTATGACTATGCAAGAAAGCATTCACGACCACAAATACAGAAAGTGCCAATAATGGAAATAAAAACAAGAAAGAAACAAAGGATCCAAAGTAACCACAGTTCAGATATACTGTCATACTAGAAACATTACCTTACAGAACATGTCTCGGAGATCATCTTTTGGGTTAATCCATGATGCAACAGCATCACAAAAGAAAATAAAGTCCTATAAGATTAAACAAGAACATAGGTTAGAAATTTTAAATTTATAGGTCTGAAAACAATGCTCAATGTTCATTCTATGATATATGCAGGGTATTTGATCCTAATGCACAACTGCATCTGGTTTTAGGCCTTTATTTTCCAGTTAATTCAGACAATAATGGTAAGTTATTGTATGCTTAAGTGTATGGAAACAAAAATAGCTGAGTGTCGGAATACCTTTGTTTAATCAGATTTTTTATTAAATTCTACCACAGATTAAAAAAAAACAAACAACAAACAACTCCTCCCCTCCCACACCACACTTGTTTAACTAATTCTTTCAGTACACATTCCGAGTTTGACATCCAATCACCTTAATAACAATCGACAAACTCAGAACCATACTTGCAACTTACTCTCATGTACTTTCAGTTAGGAAAAAAAGCTGTTATATTTCTTTAAGCAAAGCCAGAAGTTGTTTCTGGGATACACAGAATGTTTATCATACAGATTCAAAACTAAAGCCACCCCAAAATCGTTATGTTTAGTTCATCTGCTCTTATGCATTACCTCCTACTATACCATTTAAACATCAGTCTTAATGATGAAGTTTATTATGCACGTTTTTGGATAGGAACTGAGGATCACAGCTACATAGGAGGAGAGCTGGGATAATGAAAAGAGACCTTAATTACTCCCTCCCTTTAAGCTGTGTGAAAGAAGAGACAGCAGAAGAAGGAAATGCTAAGTACAAAATAAGGGATAAGTGAAATAAACTGTAAAATTCAAAACAAGATCGAGGTTCAATTCTTGTGTTTCAGGGAGAAAGATTCCAGACAGAGGAGAGGGAAATTCACTTTCATTTTCCTCTTAGAAAATATTACCTTTGTATAGCTTTACTTTGGAGCTGCAGAGACTAAAGAGAAAATCATTTATTCTTGAGATGTACCTTTTATTTTAAAGAGGTGCATCGCCCTTGTCATATTGACTATTTAAGCAATATATGCAAAGTTGAAAGAGAATCTTCCCTACCCAAGTTTTAAGAATGAAGGGGTGGTTATTGTTTTTGTTCAGTTTCTTTTTTAAAAGCCTAGATTGTATCTGAAAAATAGGGTTTAGCGTATCAACTTTTGCCTTGTATCCTCAACATTAAAAAGACTGATAGAAGTATCAAAATACAGTTAATCAAAGTTCATTATTTACATGTTCCTTGTAAGTAAAAGACAAAAAATGAATTTAACAATACTGTCTTTTTCTTTCCATAAGTAATAACTACTGAAGCAGAAATTCTGAAGTACCATGATAATTTGATATATAAACATTTCGGTCTCAATGTCTAAAAAGCAGTTACAGCACATACTACAGGGAAGCAATATCAAGCTGATTTTTTTCATACTACATATACAGCTTTCACTAAATTTCACATGAGTAAAGAAAAAGGAAGTTAAGATCGATTTATGTATCTTACTTGGACTACTCCACTGGGGTTGACTGAGATCATGGTACATATCCCACGGAATGCTGAATCCTTTTCCTCATTGTCTCTTATGTTTCGCAGAGAGGTGCACCTAGCAAGTTGGAGAGCAAAACTTAGCTAATTCTATTACTTTTTCATTCAGTCAAGTCAGGACTAGATTACAGCATTTAATGGAATAAGTCACACTGATAAGATTATATGAAAACTCTTTTGAACACTTAGATACTTGTTGCACACAGTCTTTACAAGTATATTCCCATTACGTATCATCTACAGAATCTTGCTTTTCTGTTGCACTATATACAAAGTGTGACCTGTATTCTATTAAAAAAAAAAAAGAAATATGTATATAAAATATTTATAGAAACTATCATTATTAGAAGTGAACATTACATGAGATACCACTTAAAGAACAGTTATTTAACCTTTACAGCAGCAAGCAAGATATTTTATACATAACAAGTCTAGAAACATATTCCTTACAGCAATTCAAACCTCAGACTGAATTTTAAGTAATGCACAAATTTTACAGTATTTGCATGCATTGTATTATCATTCTCATGGATTTTAAAATGCTTTTTCATAGTCAAGCTTTAACATGCAAGCATGTGACAATCTTATCCCATGCCTAAATTAGTTGTTAGCCACAACATAAAGAATACATGACAGTGCTACTAAAAACTCACAAACCTGATAGGACAAGATTAGTCACATGGTTGGCAATGATTAAGGATTGAGATTTTGTAACCAACTGAAAATATATCTAAAACTGAGATAGAAGAAAAGAAAGGAAAGAAAGGGAAGGAAGGAAGGGAAGGAGGGACGAAAGAAAGAAAGAAAAAAGAAAGAAATAAAGAAAAAGAAAGAAAGAAAAGGAAAGAAAGAAAAAGAAAGGAAAAAGAAAAAAGAAAGAAAGAAAGAAAGAAAGAAAGAAAGAAAGAAAGAAAGAAAGAAAGAAAGAAAAAGAAAAGAAAAATGAATTAAAAAAAAATTGAATAATACACACCAGGGTCTTATAAACTGCTGTAGCATGGGGGCCACCTCTTGAGGACAAACGAAACCAAGACGACCAATTGTTATTGCTAAGGTAATGCAATCACGGTTATACACCACCAAACGCCAACCAAGACATGAGCAAATGAGGGGGGAGGAGAAAAAATAAAGAAAAAAACAACAAATAACTTAGAAACAGAAGCAAACAGAATCTGTATATGATAGTAAACAAAAGATTTCACCAGTGCTGTCAATTACCACCCCTTGAATAAGAGGCAGCAACATACATGGTATACTCTCCAGGGTAAAAATAAAATTAAAGAAGTAAATGAGAGAACACCAAAAAACACAATTTAAAATGCAAAGGCTTTCTGATGTAAGCATTCTGCCCTCTTCAGAATCATCTCTTACAGTAAATTTACCTACCATGCCCTTCAAAGCTTTTAATAAAAAGTATTATTATGAATACTATTGACAGAAAGGAATTAACTATTTTCAGCTTTAGTATCAAGTAGAGTTAAATATTTTATTTTTTCAATATTTAGAATTCAAGATTTTAATAGGCCTACTATCTATCAGTAAAAATATATTTCTAAACACTTTTACATTGAATACATTGCAGTCTATCTAATAAACACTAAATAGATTAAACACTCTCAAAGAGCCCCAAATATTTGCTTTCTTCATAATCTTGAGAAATTAAAGGGGTTGCTAGCTCACAGCAAGTGACTGGAGAAAATTAATTTTTTAATCCCAATATTTCTCCTGTTCAAAAAAACTTCCTCATAAAACTTCTATAAGAATCTGACTTCTGATACAAAAGCATAAGGACGCATGAAAAGCAAAACTGCTTCTCTGAATGATTAGGTAGTGTGGTCCTTGGTTCTGAGGTCCAGACTGAAGAAAATATCATCATGCGTTTTAATGGTGTTTGCTCAACTCACAAAAGATTAATCTTTAGAAAAAAGAGAAGGTGGGAAATAATGTATCAGGATTACTTGAAGCAAAATACATGAATAATACTAAAATCCATCAGATTTATATGAAGCAGAGAAAGGAAACCTATGTTTAAGGGACATACTATGCAACACTAATTAACGAGCATTTGTGAACAGTTTCATGAAACATGCAATAAAACAGATGATGCTTTCTCCAATAAAAGTTTAGTTTAGGATACACTAGCAGTTTAAAATGTACCCATTCCATGAAAGCTGCACCTTAGTGGTAATGTACTATTTTGCCCAGACATTACTTGATTTCAATATGCAGTGTCAAATTTTTGGCTGATCCAACATAAAACTGCATTTGAAGTGATACTTCCAAATGAAAATGCATATTTAAGGTTTATCTGTAAATTCTCACAGGTAGAGTCTGTACAAGGAATAGTAATTTCTGTCAAAGCTTAACTTTTTGGCATGTACTCATTATTTTCTATGCAACTACTTTTAATTAAGCTGATCTCATATGTTTCCATAAGAGAAGTGTTTTCATAGCTCATTACATAACAACCTACAGCAGAAAACAGTAATACCCTTGCATGTACCAATGGCATACAGCACAATATTCCACAACAAACTTAAAAGTAAACCACACTCACAATTTATTTGTAGTTATGCATCTGCATTTAAAGTAACTATTAAGATACTAAAAAAAAATTAATGTTTGGTTACTTAAAAAAATTCTCTAGCAGTGATGGAAGTAAACTTTTAGGTACTGGATGTTTCTCAGCTACAGATATTACAAATCCATCAGTGCAGACAAAGAGGGTTGAGGCAGGGGAAAGAAAATTAATTTTGCTATATTATTCCAGGGTGCATTTCATAACAAGTAATTAGTGCGAAAAATATCTTTTAAAAAAGCAGCACCTATAATATGCCAGAAAACTAGGCAATTTATCCTTCAAGTTCACCTTCCATAGTAAATAAGGGGATGGGGTGTAGAGAATACTGGAGTAAAAATACACGTAGAAAGAAATTCCAATTTATCTCAGCTCAAGCCCAAATGTAACTAGCAGTGAATTTGCGTCATTTTCAATTATGTCCAGTATAATGACTAAACTATCATTTTTTCTTACAAGGCAGTTTTCAAACAGAAAAAAAGTCAAAATATTCTCAATCACTAAAATAGTAAATCAGAAACCTGTTAAATTATTAATAAAGTTTTGCTGAAGTATAGAAGGTGCTCTTCATACCAGAACATGCCCTCTATAAATGCAAAAGAACAAGTCTCAGAAATTCCACTTCAATAAGGCATTTGGGGACTGCTCCCAATTTGGAAGGCAAAGCAGCTGGCCAGAACATAGAAATGTACACGCCACTGTTAAGACTTCTTTTCAGAAATTTGTTTTTAAGTGATCAGGTAATAAAATTATACAGAATTTCAGTTATGTTGTGGTTAAAACTGCCATCACAGATCTATATTTTTGTGCATATTACTACAAATTAATATTGTTTGAAAAGCGCATTACTGCAAATCCAAAGAGTTAATTATTTGTTATATATATGCCAATTGCATTTGTTTCAAACACTAGACATACATACAGTTTGTATGTGTAAGGACAAGCATATATTAAAATCAGTGTAAAGCCACTAGGTCTTTAAGTGTTACTGCATACATTTGTCATATTGTATCCATAAATAAAATTGGAAGAATACTTAAATAGATGATAAATAAATATAAAATGTTATAAAGGTAAAAAGCAATAACTTTAATAATCTAGATATATGACATGTTTTTCTGCAAGACTGAGACTTGTAAGAACTTGTGCAAAACATTTGTTTTTGCTTATAAAAGCCAAATACATAGCAATAAGTTCTATTTGAGTTTTTGAAATCATTATAGAAAAAAACCCCTCTAATTCCCTTCACCATAAATGGTTCAATTTTTGGATACCTGTGTTCTCTAACAATGTCTTTGGTGTGTTGGGTCTGTTAATTATTTCTGCAAGCTGGTGCAACACCATTGGAATATAAGGCTGCATCTCTATACCTGAAACAGCCAAAAAGAAACATTGAGAAGAAAATGACCATTAATATACACAATCTATTTAGATCTGGTATCTTGAACTTACTGTCAAGGACAAGAATGTAAAACTTAATTTTTTTTGCATGAAAGCATCACTAAAAATAATAATAAAAAACCCAACCCAGACAAACCATTCTAAATATGCAAATATTCAAAGAAAAAAAGAATCTTACCCATCTGGATGGAGATTTCTCCAATTGCCCAGGTTGCATTGTTACACACAGAAATGAATTCAGGGTTTAGATTTGTTCCCAAAATGGGCATGAAATCAGCTAGAAAGAACAACATTTTAAAATCTCATCACACAATACAACCATCTTGTTCCTTTATTGTAAGATCACAAGCGAGTTTTTTTAAAATCATGTAAAGCATATTTAAATTGTCATAAAGCATTACACCGGAATTAATAAGAACTGTATTTTTTATAGATATCAGATTAACCTGGATGATACAACCTCAGCAGATCAATGCAAATCTTTGCAAACTATGATTTAAAAATATTTCTAATAGATTTTACATTTATGTAACTCTAAACCCCTTTTTTATTCCCTTCCCAGGAGTGGGGGAAAAAAAGCACACCTGGATAGCTATGTATTTAACTGTGCTAAAAAAAAAGAAAAAAAAGAATGACCACCCTCCCCCCAAAACAAACACCCCCTTTAACAAAAACAAAAAAAGCACCAAATACAACACCAATCCCCCCCCCCCAAAAAAAAAACCAACAACCAACAAAAATGAAACCTAGAAAGAAAATCACAGTCTTGACTAAAATTTATTTGGCAGATGTTATAATCTGTCTTTGTGACTAATATTTCACTAAAATTCAAATTCCAAGCCTATCCAAGCATTCATGGATTCTAGTAGAACAAAAAAAACCCCACAAATTCTAGAATTTACTAAAGAAAGCAACTGTTACAATTGCAGTCAAAGTACATCTGTTTTGCCATATTCCAGCAAAACAGGAAGCATGTTACATTACAAAAATCAAGCAGCAAAATGAACTTTTGCTACAGACCCTTGCTAATAGAAGAAAATGAAAACTTACAACACCATGACAGGGCATGCCACAAAAAAGGGAACTTAACAATAGCTAAATCAGCCTCTTATCAGTTTGTAAAACAAGTTAAGTATTTAATATGTAAAAGAAACATACCGATGCAAGGCTTAACATGCTGAAAACACGCCTTTGTCAGATCACCTAACAACGCAAAAGAACTCTGCCGTACCTCAGGCATTTTATCCTAAAGAGAGGAAGAAAAAAACCTAACAATTCTAGAAGTGTTTCTGATTCTTTTAAGAAAGAAAATTCTTGGATTAAACAGGTTTCTCACCTGCATGCATTGGTACATTAGCGTCAGGATATTGCTGCAAGCCACTAGCTGTTCAATGTTACCTCCAAGTCCTTCAGCTAAACCACTCAGTAAATCAAGAGCCACAATCATGAAATCTTTATCTGGAGCCTCATATTGGTCTGGTTGAGCATTGTGCAGCTGCAACAAATAATTATGCTTTTTCAAAATAAGTATTAGATTTTCTCATGGTTATGCATAAAAGTAAAAACAAACAGTTTCAGAACTGCAGCTTCATTTAAATATTCAACAGTTAATACTACTAAATCTCCCTGCAAACCACTAACTTTACATAGTTAATACATTGGTTTAAGGAGATATTCTGAAAACACTGGAATAGCAATAGAAAAATACCATGGCTTGTGCAAGAGTCTTCTGCACCAGATTTACACAACGCTGGTACACAGGCTCACAATACGGAAGAAAGCCAGATTGCAAGGCAGTAGCAACTGACGACAGGCACTGGAATAAAATAAAGAAGAAGAAAAAAAAAGCAGGATAGACACTAACTTACCTCCCCCAAGTACCTTTTACTTGTGTGAGGTAAAGTAAAAGCCTTTAAGTATACCCACAAGTAACTAAGTAAAACCAACCTGTAAAGGTAGTACCGATTAGCTGAGACAAGGCAACTGTTATGTAATTGTTACTCTCTCCTATGTATGTCAATTGAGAAAATTTCTCAGGAGCAGAATCTTCTTTGAGGTGGCCAAGAGTTCATATGAAGACTACTATAATTCAGCTAGCACTTACACTAAACTTCAGTATCCTGGCAATGTATAAGCCCTAACATTATCCAAGAATTATGAAACTAATTTATCTAGACGTGTTTTCCTGCTTCACATTTGGAAAGTACAGAGAATGAACTACATGGTCTGGTTCATAACTTAAGACTGTTGATAATTGTTTTAATGGAGGGACAAAGAGAGAGCAAGGAGAAAAAGACAAGAACAACAGGGATGGAACAACTTTTTAAAAAAACAAATAATCCCAAAGAAAACAATCAAGAATGGCAGGAAAAAATAAATCTTAAATATTTCTGCTAAACTTAATGACATTTCCTCAGTCACAAAATTTTCTCATTTATTGTTGTAATATTTTCTCCATAATGGGAAATACCTAACACTGACAGTTTTCATAGTCATACTTCCTAGTAGGAGCATCCTTAGTAAAAGGGGTAGTTCACAAAAGAAGTTGATAAAACACATTCAAATTTTAATATTTACCTCTAATAAAGGGAAGAGATCTTTATCTTCATCCTTCAACATGTTCCACTTCTGGATTAATGGAGGCATTAGCATCTGAATATATTCCTGTTTAAGATGAAAATGCATCAGCTACTGAAACAATTGCATACTAGTTTATTTCAAAGCTAGAAAATTGATATATTCTACTTTTTCAGCCAAAGGAAATTGATATACTGTAATCATTGTTGCAATATGTAGAAGTAGTTTAATACTAGAACTTTATGTTTTAAGATTTTTTGCTGAAGCACATAAGTATCTTTGCAGAACAAATCTTTTCCTCCAGCACTGGCTTCAGTCTGGCAACTTTTAATATCTGCCTGGGTTGTTACAAATCTAAACGATTGACTCAGGGGCTACAGAAAACATTTTTACGAGCAATACAATTTGGTTGTGCATCTGCCACCTGCTTTTCTCAATCATCTTCCATTGCCTTGATGATACAACCCTATCCCCCCAAGTTCTTGAAACCTCTTCCTCAATCAACTATCCATCCATAAAGAAAGCAATTTTCTATCCCTCCAGAAGGGCATGTTTAGTAATTCTGTACAAAATATTTCATTTTCCCTACCACTGCTGTCACAGTCACAAGGACATTGAACAAGGCATCCCTGTAGTACTGTTGCTTCCAGAAAGTATCCAAAGAGACAACAGAGCCACCAAACACACAATCATTTATTCAAAATGGAGAATATTTGTGTAGTGGGAAAATTACATACAGTCTGTGTATTTTACATGTAAATATTTATTATTATTGAAGCCAGAATTTATGTTTTATAACATATAAATCACACTACAAACCCCATCAAACCACTTTTTAAATATATGATGAGTGTTTCTACAGAACATAAGGTATACTCACTGGTTTATTTAGATGATGTCCTACAGAATCTGCTAGAGTTCCTATAGCATCATAAAGAATGAGCAGGTTTTTATGCTGGTATTTACTAAATGCGAAGACCAAAGTGTCAAGTATATATGCAAGATAAGGAACAAGCTCTGTACAAGCCTCCTCTTCTAGAGTAGCAAAGGCACTGAATGACAAAAAAACCCCACCATAAATAGAAAAGTCAGTATCTTGGAAAGAACAAAACAAGACCACCCCAAAATGCCCCACACTACCCATTCCTGTTCAAACGTAGAACTGTATTTAGCCTTTAAATTCATCCAAGGTATGTTTTCAAAATGGTATTACTGAGAAACTCAGTCTATTTTGATTGAACACAAAGATTCAGCTCTTACACTGTGGTGAGCAAAATTTAAAAATATTCTGTTAAAAACCTTTTATGTATATATGCTACAGATCTAATCCTGCTTTATGAACAAACTTTCTTGGGAGTCTACTGTGTACACTCTTGCCCCACACGAACTGACATGTAAAAGTTTTATTTGCTGAGCTTCCTGCACAAGAGATGTATTCATTTCATTAATGGTGTGTCCATTTTTTTAAATATCAGCAGACAAGGGAGAGAAGGGAATCTTACCTCCAAGGATCTCCTTTCAAGAGAAAGGAAATATCCCTTGAAATAATTGTAATGCAAATGTTTTGGTAATCCTGAGCTAACTATAAACATTGCTAATGCAATGATAGTATAGTTTTCCAGTATTGACCTCATTCATAGGCCTATAAAGCCAGATTTCTGGTCAATGAAACCTCAAATATTGAAAAAAAATAGGTGTCACATGCAGATAATTTCTTTTACTGCAATAGATTGTTTAGTTTGATTATTCATATATTCTAAAAACAAACTGGACAAATTATCTGTTTTGATTTTACTACAACTCAGAGTTATTTGTGACGACTTCAGAAGAAGTTGAACCTACTCCAATTTAAAAGGAAAAAAAAATTAAGAAACATTAAGAGCTAGAAATGGAGTCATACATTCATCAGTAAAGGAATTAAAATATTTTCCCATGAAAAAGCAGTGTCATGGATAGTACTTTTTGTTTAAGCTTTGGCTCACCTGCAGGCAGCTTCTTGTACTCTCTTGTTGCTATCCAGAATGCACTTTAGCAACTCAGTCATTAATGGCTTCAAGTGTGTGTCTGGGGGTTGACTAACTACCCAGTGTGCATAGCGACTAAGAGTCCAGCAAGTAATGGAGCGCACAAGAGCCTTTTTATTAGAAAGGCACTGAATAAGGTGAGGGATCAGCTCAGGAAGATATGGAACCATACCCTGCATGCAGCCTAGAAGGAAAAATATAGCTATTACAGTAGAAAAATCAGAAAACATAATAGAACTTTTTGTTATTTCCTAGAAGGGACATATTTTCATCCTCTATCATGTAGTAATGCATTTTACCAATATACAAAGCAAGTATACCTACTTTATGTTGTCCTAAAAAGAAACCACACCATGAACAGTAATTAAAATCCCCAATGAAATTTACATTCATTCCAACTACATTTCTACTTTAGTGTTTCCCCAATCCCCATAAATTCTGCTTTATCAAATGGAGTATAGCAAGAGCACCCAAATAAAATTAGTTTATAAAGCTTGGAAGTCTTATGCCAGTCTGCTCAGAGTAACCAAGACAACAAGTAGAGAAAGTTTAGGCCTTGATAACAAAACATAATTTCATTAAAAAAGATTCCTTAAGAAATTTAATGTTCTTGTTTTCTCCTAATATCACACCAACGCAAATAAAAGCTACACACTTCAAGTCAGCAAGGGCAGTAATACACTGAGATTTGCCAGAAGTACTAACTTTTATCTTGCTTGACTTGAAATCAAACCAAACAAAAATGCTTTCTAGCAACAAAGAAAATATACATCCACTAGGCACTGTAGGAGAAGATAGATAATCCAGGCATGGACCCAAAAATATTCCTTCAGTTTGCAAAATAGACAGAGATGATGAAAATACAGGCAAAAAGCCAAGACCGTAAGTAAATACAAAGAAATGGAAGTTATCACATTTAAATCAGAGAACCATCCACAAAAAGCAGCTCAGGGCACTGAAGTCACAGATCTGGTCTTCTCCATTTCTGAAAACATTGAATGAAATGTAAATATTCCTGTTGTATCAAATTAAGGTAGTATTTCATGAGAGACCAAAAATATATGCTACAGAGTTAAGAAACGGAGGAATAAAAGAAATTATTTAAGTTATTTAAGCCTTCAAAAAGGCATATTTGAACATTAAACAAACAACTGCAGTCATCAATTAGTAGATGTAGAGATTAATCACTAAAACCAAATCAGCTAAGGATGTATACTTGCTTACACAAGTAAATTCACCCTGAACGGATCACAGAGCTGCTTTAGAACCAATCAAAAATTCAGCAACTTGATATGCACTATTGCCTTACCTTCAGCAATTGCTCCAAGAACAAGGATACCAGATTCTTTAACTACCCATTCGGGATGGAAAAGCAATTCCTTCAAAAGGGGCAAGATGTGTGGCAGAAGTTCATCACGAAATACATTAGCCAGGACATCAAGAGCAGCAGCAGAACATTTCCCTGGAGGGAATTAACAGTGTTAATCTGCTTATTATATTATTATTATACAAGCAGTTGTAGTTAGACAGTATGATCCTCATTTTAACTTTGAGCTGGCAGGGTATCAGGAGAAAAGATGCTTCTATTTCATTACAATACACAGGGATTGAGCCACAGGTCTTAGAAAGCCATTTTTGCAGCATTTTTATAGCTACTAAAAGGACTTATACACTAGAGATATTAAAATACTCACTGACAGGAAACACACACTGTAAAAATCCTAAACTGGATCTAAACGACTAGTGGGCCCAAACAAGACATAGCTAATTTTTCAGCTGGAAGATAGCAACTACTAGAATAGATAACAAATAGAAAATTTTTTTCTACTCTGCTTCTAGATGATGTCCAACAAGCTTGAATAAAACCAAACATGAGCCCTCAACTTAGAGCAGGTCTTCACTGAAAAAAAATAACAAACAGCACAGACTCCCAGAGACTAGCATCTTAGAAAAAGGTTCTTCACCTAGAGGGTGGTTGAGCACTGGAACAGGCTCCCCAGGAAAGTGGTTACAGCACTAAGCCTGACAGAGTTCAAGAAGCATTTGGATGATACTCTCAGGCACATGGTGTTCCTCTTGGGGATGGTCCTGTGCAGGGTTAAGAGTTGGACTTGATAATCCTTGTGAGTCCCATCCAACTCCACATATTCTGTGATTCTGTTTCAGCTTTCTGCTAGAAGAGGAAAAAAGGTGGGCTTCCATATTTAGTTACCAGGTCTCATTAGTAACCAATGCTGCTGTCAGGCTGTGCTGATATTTCTTTTTTGTTAAAATTGGAAATCAAATATAGAACACTGGATACTAAACAGGGAACACAATTCTGAAATTCAGATAATCTGAATTCTCTCAAGTCCAGATGACATACATGAAAACAGATTTCTTAACTGTTCTGTTCTCTCTCTTTCCTAGCAAGCTTTAGTTTCCTCACTTTCTTAACCAAAACTGTGGACCACAGAGCATCCTCCGTCATTTCAGCTATGTTTTCCAGAAAATATTGATTTAATTCTGGAATTTCTACACATGACTACAAGAACAGCATAATGAATTTAAAACTATAAAAAGATACTTTACAAAGGAAAACATATTTGTGCTTTTTGTCTTCTAAAATAATAATAACAATAATAATATTAAAAGTTTAGCTATGTCTCAAAGTTGTTTGATCCATAAGCTTCAAGGTACATTCATCTGTACTACATCTGAACTACTGGTAATGGCTGTCAGTAGTAGCATGTTCAAATGGAGGGGAAAAAATCCACAAACAAATCAGATTTAGAGGGAAGACTGAAGTAAAGGAAAGCATTATTAAGCTAAGAACAATGTGTAAGACTGTATTGGGTCTGGCTGAGATGGAGTTCATTTTCCCATAGCAGCCCTCACAGTGCTGTGCTTTGCATTTGTAGCTAGAAAGGTGCTGATAACACAACAGTGTTTTGGCTACTGCTGAGCAGTGCTGGCACAGCATCAGCATTGTTTCTCCAACATTCCCCCCATCAGTAGGCTGTGGGTGGGCAAGATCCTGGGAGGGGACACAAGTAGGCCAGCTGACCCAAACTGAACAAAGAGATATTACATACTATATGGCATCAGCTGAGATATAAAAGCTAAGGAAAGGAGGAGGAAGGGGGAGCATTCATTATTTGCAGTGTTTGCCTTCTGGAGCAACTGTTACTCATGCTGAAGCCCTGCTTCCTGGGAAGTAGTTGAACATCGCTTGCTGATGGGAAATAGAGAATAAAATTATTTTGTTTTCCTCTTTGCATCCAGCCAAGGTCAACCAACCACAAAGACTTGTAAAAAACAGTGATATATGTTTTCTATTATCTTGTAGAATTAAAATTCAAAATCCAAAGCTTCTGTTGAATTGCCTCCAGTAGATGTTTGCAACTCTATTGGCCATATTCAAAATAAGTTTAAAGTTGGCTAGATTTTTCAATACAGTTATATAGCCAAAACATCACCTGAAAGACTCCCCCTCTGCCCCAATCACCAATTATATCAGTAGATAGTTCTTTATCTGTTCAAAAGCAAAGCCTCAGTATTCCTATACACAAACTCCTCTTTTTACTGTTTCTTGTATTATGCAAGTATCTATATTTGAAAACATTTTACACATTGACATACTTAAATTCCAGTCAGAAATAGTATCATCATCATCAAGATCATTGTCATCATCATCATCTTCAATATGATCTTCTTCATGTTGCTGAGCTACTGTCCGTGAACGATGAAAACGAGGTCTTATGTCCTGTTCACTATCTGGAATAGCTTCATCTTCTTCAACATCCCCCTGCCAAAAAATGTTTTATCAGATAAACTAGTGCAACTATATTGCTCAAGGAATTAAGAATGTAGTGTCAATTTTAGTTCAATATATTTATAAACATGTGAAAGATTCACATCCCACTTGTGCTGCCCTGCTAACTAAAAATGCCACTGTTCCTGCATTCTGCTACAGTATTTACCAGAAAAAAATCAGGAAAATAAAAGCAACAGAGGTAATCTCAAGGAAAAGCACAAAGTACCCTTCTTGTAAAGAAATTACTCTTGATTGGAAGGAATTAGAAGGAAGAAGAGATAGAGAAATTCAAGTACACAAACACATTCTAAAATGTTGTGATGGAAAAAGCTTTGTAGTTCAAGCTAGAAGGGCATTAAAATCAATTCTGATCATTTCTTTCAGGATGCTTTGCTGCAGTAATTCATGGGTAAAAGTATCCCAGCTCTGCCAAAGCTGGGTGGAAGGGGAGAGGGGCAAAGCAGGAAAGCCCACAGATTATTTTCCAACAAACATGGTAGCAGTCGCATAGCATTTTTGGAACAGCATACCTTGCCCCAAAAAGCTAAATCTCCATTGAACAGATGGCAGGCCAGATCTGGCCTACCAGCTCAACCATTCTGATTTACAAGTCAGAAGTTATCCAGATATTCTTACTGAGTATAAAAGGAAGGAATGCTTACCTTTAACAGAATAATATCAATCTCTGAATACTTCATACCATTTACCAGCACAGGTATCAGTCTACAAAGAAATATTGATACATGTCAAGAAGGAAGACCCTGGTAACTACAGGCCTATCAGTCTCACTTCAGTACCTGGTAAAATTATGGTGAAAGGTATTCTGGGACTTATTGAAAAACATTTGAGAGACAATGCAGTCACTGGTCACAGCCATGGGTTCATGAGGGGAAAGTCCTGTTTAACCAATTTAATTTCCTTTTACATCAAGGTCACCCATCTTACTGACCAAGGGACACCAGTAGATGTGAGGTTTTTTTGATTTTTAGCAAAGCCATCAATACTTTATCTCACAGTATTGTACTGCAAAAAATGTCCAGCACACAAGTCCATAACAAATTGGGTGAACAATTGGCTAATGAGTTGGGTTTAAAGACTTGTAGTAAATGGAGTCACATCAGGTTGGCAACTGGTCACCAGTGGGATTCCCCAGGGCTCAATTATAGGGTCAGAGCTCTTTAATGTTTTTATAAATGACCTGGAAGTAGGAATCAAATGTACAGTAAGTTTGCCAATGATACTAAACTAGGAACTGTGGACTCCCTGGAGGCAGAGAGGCCCTGCAAAGAGACCTCGACAAATGACAGGGCTGGGCAATCACCAACCACATGGAGTTTAACAAAGACAAGTGCCAGACTCTGTATCTGGGACAGGGCAACCCTGGATGTATGGACAGACTGCGGAATGAGAGGCTAGAGACCAGTGCCATGGAAAGGGACCTGAGGGTCCTGGTCGACAGCAACTTGAATATGTCAGCAGTGTGCCCTGGTAGCCAGGAAGGCCAACTGTATCCTGAGGGGCATCAGGCAAAGCATCGCCAGCCGGTCGAGGGATGTTATTGTCCCACTTTGCTCTGCACTGGTGCAGCCTCACCTTGAGTACTGTGTGCAGTTTTGGGCACCACAATATAAGAAAGATATAAAGCTATTAGAGAGCATCCAAAGCAGGGCAACAAAGATGGTGATGGATCTTGAGGGCAAGACTTATGAGGAGCAGCTGAGTTCACTTGGTCTGTTCAGTTTGGAGAAGACAAGGCTGAGGGGAGACCTTATCGCAGTCTACAACTTCCTCAAGGGGGGCAGCAGATGGGGATGTGCTGATCTCCTCTGTCTGGTGACCAGTGATAGGACACAAGGAAATGGAATGAAGCTGCATCAGGGGAAGTTCAGATTGGACACTAGGAAAAGGTTCTTCACTGAGAGGGTGGTCGATCACTGGAAGGAGTTCCCTAGAGAACAACACTCTTAGTCATATGATTTAGTGTTAGACAGTCCTAAGAGGAGCAGGGAGTTGGACTTGATGATCCTTATAGGTCCCTTCCTACTCAAGAGATTTTATGATTCTATGTCAAAATAACACATAAATAAAGCAAACTGGTTTTCAGTTACCTGGTCCATAATTTTGACTGTAATCATACTCTCCCCAACAACAAACAAACAAACAAACAAAAAGCTCCAGACAAAAACTTAGCCTGATACCAAAAGTTAGTACCTTAACCACACTCCATTTTATGAGGTTCATTAATACTTTGTCATCTGAAAAAGTGTTAATTTCTAACTAGAGGTAGCCAGATGGCACAACTGTGTTTTACATTTTAAAAACAGGATATTCTTCCATATGATTAAATCTATTTTGAAGTACCTTTCAGAAAAAAATCAAATTCTTTTCAGTAAGAATTCACACTTCCAAAATATGCTTGATAAAAAAGTTATTACTTTGGTTCTATTCGTCACTTAACTGACCTGTGACTAAAGACTCTACCTCACTACTCTTAAGGATGGAAATCTACCTACATTGAGCTCTCCTATCCTTTTGTGATTACTTCAACTATCATCCCTTAAGACAAGTCCCTGACATTGCAGAGATCTTGACATTAGTCATTAGTCTATATTAGAACTTTACTTAGTTATTTAACTGGTTATGGCCATGAGTCTCCAATGGTATTGATGTATGGCAAAAAAAAAGTAACAGGGGAAAAAAAGTCAAGTATTTCACATATAAACACATTTGCTACAAAAATAAATCCATAAAAATAAATATATGTATTACAAGCCAAGTCAAACTAATACTGAAATTACCATAGACTGACCAAGCACCAGTGTCAAACTTAATCTCTCTATATTCTACAGCTGAGGAGTATTGTTTCTGAAGGTATTCAGACCAGCAATAATACTCATGCATCTCAATGACAATATGAACTTAACAAAAATTTCCCTCAAATTACAACACGAAAATGGCATTAAACTGTGTATAGGCACAGAGGCAAGAGGCAACCACACCACCACTCTGTGGAGCAAGAGAGATTGATTTTAGTCATGGGGGGATTGTGGTGGTGCACACCCCTCTCTCCATCTTCGGGCCTGCTCTACAACTTCGGAAGCTCCAGACAAGTCTTGACTGAACCAGTTGAGCATTGAAGCATCCCTGACTGTGCAAGGAGCTTGATATAGGTGGAAACAACACTGACCATACCAGGAAAATCATCTGCCTGACCAAGGTGGGGAACAAAGGAAAGGCCGTTATTCTTGTTAGCCTTGGTAAATTATTTACCTGAAGTGTAGCTCGAGTGAAGTGGTACCACTGTTACAAGACCTTTTGAAAAAAATGAATCGTAGCCCGAGTGAAACAGTACCATTTTTACTGAACTTTCTGGGAAAAAAGACCAGCAGTTACTGACCTGGGTCATGGTCAGAATGGAAACTTACTGATGACTAAAGCCAACTCTCTCACAACCCTATAAACAACGGTCCTAAGTGAGGTCCTTTGAGCTCTCCTGGACCACAACAGGCTATGACCAGCAACCTCCCTCTGAGTGAGACACTTCTCAGGGCTCTCAAACCCTCGAGTTTGTGATACTTGAAGGACTATCACTGACAACAAGGCCTAGGCTGATATCCCCCCCACTATCTCCATGCTCCTCCAGGTGCAACCCTTGCCTGTTGGGAAATGCAAAGGGATTTGACATGAGTATTTCACTGAACCTGAGGGGAATTATTGATAGGTACATTTAGACACATAAAAATAGGTGTACACATGGTTTTACCTCTGTGTATGTGAATTGATTATGGTATAAATGCTGTTATAGTGAATCTATAATTAAGTCACTGTTATAACTGTAATAAATCCTACTGAATTAATTTTTAAATGCTAAATTAGTCAATGATTAAGTGCTGCTAAGCCCTTCTGCACCCCTATCTTTTGTATCCATATCCTTTGCACCCTTACCCCCTTTTGCATTCCCAGTCTTCATGTAAATCATTCTAGATTGATTCTAATCTGATTTTCCTACGTATGCTTCATCTATATAGTAATAGCGAGCCTTGCCATCGAACTCTGTTAAAGTCACACTTTCACAAATACATATTAAAACCTGCTTTTTGCCAATACCTTTGATGGCGACTCTGAGCAGCTGAAATTACTCGTTCACAACAATTACCTTCTGAACTTTCGATAAAAGCTTAAAAAACTACTGTCAGTCTGAAGAAGCATGAAGAAAAACACTATACATGCTTTCAAGTTTAAATTGCCTTGGCAACTGATATGAAATTGATTCCAAAATCTAAATGACCTTGTCATTTTGTTATGTTCTTCATAAAGATGGGGAACCCCTGGCATGACTATGCACATAGAAGCATTGCACAGAAATGCTCACAATAGTAGTTGTCAAGACAATATGTTCATGGTACACCATATATTACAGGTAATGTCACATGAAGATATTTGTTTAAGCTTAAGCGGATGATAGTATACCTTTATATAAATCTGATACTTAACAGGCTGTTAAGGTTGAGGTAGAGCACCAGTGATACAGTTTAGGTTGCTTCTGGAGCCAAGTCTGAAATCCTCAGAAGTCTTTTCAGTGACCTCTTTGCTACAGCCATTTTTAATATGCACAAGAACTAGCTACAAGAAACTCCTCCTAAGCATACAGCAAGCTAGATACGGTTTCTATAATAGTAACCAGGAAAAAGTCAACTGAAGTTTAAAGATAACTATTGCAAAATAACTAGTTCTAATTCTTAATACTTACTTAGTAAGATGTCGACATAATACATCTTTACAAATTGGTTGTTCAGCCAAAGTCAGCCAAAATTCGCAAGCCTCCAAAGCAACATTTTCATCTTGGTCCTGGGTCCTTTGAAGCATATACTACACAAAAAAAAAAAAAAGCCAATCTTGTATAAGTTTTAATTGAAGAAGCTATCAACATTGCAAAGCATGTTTGCAAAATCAAACTATGCTCCCAGAGTATAGTATATGTTTCTTATGGGCAAGGGGAAGAAACAGATATAAGATACTACTTAAGGCTATGGTGAGAATAAGAGACAATGCTAGATGATTCAGATTCTAAGATCTTCACTAAGTGAGAACATTATTACCAAGAAAACTATAGACAGAGACCCACGATAGTAAACAGAGAATAGTTGTTTTTTTCTTCAATTATTATTTTAACACTCCCCCCTCCCTTTCTCTTTTTTAATAAAACTTACTTTTGAATAAAACACTTAGTAAGATGGAAAAACTTTTTATATCCAGTACCAAAAAAAAGCTTCCCTTTAAAATCTTAAATACCTGACTGGATGCAATTAAGTAGAACCCATTACAGGGGGAAAAAAAAGTCTCACTTTTTTCTAGCATGAATGGTAATTCAGAGATTCAGTATCAAATCTTTAGGCTTGCTGCTAAAGTTTAATTCCCCTTAAACAAAAATAATCAAATACCTGCATTATCAGAAAGGCTAAGTATACCACAGCTACATCAGTTTTTTGTACAACTGCCAAAGAAATTTAGGGAAGACGCAACTTCCCAAATGGTAATTTCTGCATTGTTCCATGCCAGCTCTTCATTTCTGAAACATTTTAGAAGCCTCATGGAAGTCCATGCAGCTACCTTTCCTCACACAATCGTTTAAAACAAGCAAAAGAAATCCTCCTCCATAATTACCATTTTGTTCTCAAAATAAAATAGGATGGGACAACCTATATTATCCTTATGCATTTTAGGGATGCAAGATTTGCAACAAACATATCCCTTCCTACAGAACTGTATTCCCACAGAGCTGCATCAAAAGAAGCATGGCCAGCAGGTCGAGGGAGGCAATTCTCCCCTACCACTCCATTCTGAGATCCCATCTGGAGTATTGCATTTAACTCTGGGGACCCCAACACAAGAAAGACATGGGACTGTTGGAGCAAGTCCAGCAGAGGCCACAAAGATGATTAGAGGGCTGGAGCAACTCTTTTATGTGGAAAGGCTGAGAGAGTTGGGGTTGTTCAGCCTGGAGAAGAGAAGGATTCGAGACCTTCTAGCACTTTTCAGTACCTAAAGGGGCTCCAAGAGAGCTGGACAGGTCGTTTTACAAGGGCATGGAGTGACAGGACAAGGGGGAATGGCTTTAAACTGACAGAGGGCAGAGTTAGATATTAAGGAGAAATTCTTTACTGTGAGGGTGGTGAGGCACTGGATCACGTTGCTCAGAGAGGTTGTGGACTCCCCTCCCCATCCCTGGAAGTGTTCAAGGACAGGTTGGAGGGAGCTCTGAGCAACCTGGTCTAGTGGAAGGTGTCCCTGCACATGGCAGGGGGCTTGTAACTAGATCATCTTTGAGGTCCCTTCCAACCCAAACCATTCTATGATTCTATGAACTGCACTAAATTGTGTTTCCTAAAGGGTCGTTATTGTGATTAAGAACTGACAGCAGCAAAAATACTGCTCTATTCTGACTTACGAACAGATTACAGCTCGGAAAAGTTGAAAAATGTCCTATCCATTGCAAGAAAGGTTCATTAATGCAACTGAAGTGATTTGGTATTTTTCCCTAGAGAGCTTGAAAATCCACACTTTTCTTGTGTGCGGTTATTTGTCACGAAGACAAAACTCTGAGAAAAATCTCTCTTTAAATTTACGACGATGGCGGAAAAAACCCCCACAGAACAAAGAAAATAATAATAATAATAATACGAGTAGGAAAATTTAATTACAACACGTTAGGTCCTCAAGTCTCTAAATTTCCAAGAGCACACCTCCCAATTCATAACTCCCGCCTTTTAAACATTCCTAAGGTCCAACCCTGGTTTTCGTCATGGGGGGGCGTTTCTCCTCTTCGAATTGGCTCTCCTGTGCTCCCCCCTCATGCCAGGGGTGGAGTTTCAGACAAAATGGCGGCCTCCATCTGCCCCCATGGCCAGTCATGTGACATGGGGCTGGGTCAGCTATATTTCCAGTTAGTTCGCAATTCCCTCTTCCCGCATGCCCAATCCCTGGCATACATTTCAAGACTGAACTGTATGCCTTACAACTTTCGCGGAATGCCTATAGGTTGGTAATAAGAATAACCCTTTGTCCATTTTATTTGCTTGTAATAAAACCAGTTTTTTATTTCTCACAAAACCAGAATGACAAAAAGTAATTTCTGTTAGAAGGTGTTCCTCACACTGTCATTTTCTCTTTAAGCATGTAATAATACATGCTCCATGAAGTTAGATAGCAGCAGAATGAAAAGGCTACTTAGTGGTATAAGACAGGCATATACACAGCATGGAAATCATAGAATGGTTTGGGTTGGAAGTGAAAGAAATAAATGAGACAGTTTTATTACAAGCAGAGTTTCCATGGTTGCCTCGTGATGAGGAGTTTTAGTGACCAGGGGTGTTCTGCAGCTGCCTGTGGCTGCAGCTCTGTTGCAGTCATGACCTGTTATAGGTACTAATAGTTGTGATCCTGTAAGAAATAAATAAGGTGGTTTTATTACAAGCAGGAGTTTACTCATGTCAAGATACCTGGAAGCTGCATTGTTTGGGGGGGGTTGGAGAGTTATTTAGTAGTGGGGTACTGATTGTTTGCAGTTACTTATTGTTGTTGCCTATAGTTACAGTATAGAGGCGAGTCGGGAAGCCTGTAAGACAATGGGACCAGCTAGGGCTCATTGCCAAGGGACCACATGGCCAGGACAGGGAAACAATCTGAGAGGTCAGTTAAGACAACCAATGGACTGGCAAAGGGAAATGTGAGCTGGCCCTGAGAGACCCAATCGAGCTCAAAAGGGCTATATCACCTTTTAAGGAAGAAAAGGAGCAGAGCTGAGCATGGGAGGAAGGAGGGAATAGTTATGCAAATCAAGAAACCTTAAAAGAACTGCCCCCTCCCATCTCATGTGTGCTCTCGGGCTCTGGCATGAGGCAGACCTGATCACACCCAGTGCGCTGAAAATAAAGTTCTTTGTTTCACTTTATTTGGCCGTCTTTGTAATTTTAATTTGATATATTTCTCACAGAAGGGACTTCAAAGATAATCTAGTTCCAACCCCCCTGCCGTGTGCAGGGACACCTTACACTAGACCAGGTTGGTCACAGCCCCATCCAGCCTGGCCTTGAACATTTCCAGGGATGGTGTCATAGGTTTGCTTGTTTTAAAGAAAAAAACTCCGCAGGGAATTTTTTCCCCTGTCCCACTGTGAAAGGAAGGTGTTGTCAAGAGAGGGTGACGGGATAGCTAGAGTGATTCACACACACAAAAGAACTAGCCAGCAGCCCCACATTCCAAGCTAATGGGCCTCAGTAGACTGCTGGGGGGGAGGTGAGTTTTTCTCCTTGGGAAACTGCATCCTTTTTTACCTTTTTTTCTGGGACTCAGGAAGTATGCAGGGGGGAGAAGCAAGCTCCAGGTTCAGTTTGTTCTTTTTTCCTCCTCGGCCGGGCAGCCGGTTCTTCGGACACAGTTTCGCATCCTGTTTTGCCCCCCTGTGTGCCCCCCTCAGAGCTGCCAAGGATCCAGAAACTGACAGCATTTTGTGATTTTTTTCCCTTTCTTCCTGGGTTTCCCCGTTCCTCGTTGGACAAACTGACATCCTGGTCCCTTGCTAGCTGCCACTTTCATGGTTGAGGGTGGGGGGGACCCACCTTGGGGTCTTGAACCACCTGGCACAGCTGAGATCTGCCATTTGCCACTTGGGGTTCGCCAATAGTGCCCCCTGACAACCACTAGAGTGCAATCGCAGGCTCTACTGCTCCGGAGATCCAACAGCGCCTCCTGCTGATCGTGCTTAGAATTGCCCCGAAAGGAGTAAAGAACTGTTTTTAGGTGGGAATTTGGGTGAGGTATTGTTGTTTGGTTTTGTTCTTTTGGTGTGCTACCTATATGCATACATCCTTTAATAAAGGGCTTTTAATTTTTTGTTTCTTTCTCCACATTTCCTCGACTGGACCCTCTTAATTTTGGATTTACAATTGCTTAGAGGGGGAAGCTTGGTCTTCCTCATAACTTGCCCTCCTTAGCAAACACTTCTGTCTCCTTAAACTGAGACAGATGGTGCATCCACAACATTGCTAGGCAACCTGTGCCAGTGTCTCACCACCCTCACAGGGAAGAATTTCTTCCTAATATCCAATCTAACCCTACTCTCTAGCAGTTTAAAACCACTGTCCCTTGTCCTGTCACTACAATTCTTGATGAAGTCCTTCCCCATCTTTCCTGTAGGTCCCCATAATAAGTACAGTGATACTAGGCATTGGAATGGGCTGCCCAGGGAAGTGGTGGATTCTCCATCCCTGGAGGTTTTAAAGATGAGACTGGATGTGGCACTTAGTGCCATAGTCTAGTAAGAGCGGTGATAGTGGATCAAGAGTTGGACTTGATGATCTCAGAGGTCCTTTCCAACCCAGCTGATTCTATGATTCTAGTAGCAAAGCAAAGTGTGGGAAATATTATTTGAAGGCTTTTAGGTTTTTTCAGTATTTCTCAGAATATTCCAAGTTGGAAGGGACCCACAAGGATCCTCGAGTCCAACTCTGAAGTGAATGGCCCATAAGGAGACTGAACCCACAACCTCGGTGTTATTAGCACCATGCTCTAACCAACTGAGCTAATCTCAGGGTTGTTCTTGTGTCATACTTTAATATGTACTTTCAATGATAAGCTAAACAATTCTACTGACTTTAGGCAGTGGAAATAGTTGATTCATAACAAAAAATTACAAAATAGCATAGGAATATTATCCAGAACTGCTTTGCATACTCTATAACAATGTTGTGTTAGTCTTGCTATGTCAAACTATGTGATGCTCAAAGCATTAAGACACATCCTTTGAGCAGTAACAGACATCTATCTGAAAGCAACAGGATGCACACAATCTTATTACTTCAGCAACAAGCTGAGTTTCTGTATTATAACTTCATACTATCAACATCATTCATTAGAAGCAATTGCATTATGCATTGTTGAGGGAGGAAGGGGTTGAAAACAGAAAATTGGCAAGAAGAAAAGAGAATAAGTTGGGTTTAGAATTGTTTTAGCTTAAAGACCAATCTTGCAGCTGGGAATTGCTAAGAATATTGCTTCAGTGTGGGAATCTTCACACCCTGTGTTTCCTTCAGGTTGTTTTCTGTCTATTGAAAGAAATGGAATTGTCTCAAGGAAGATGACAGAATGTTGTTAAAAACTTACTAGCATTCTTTCCCGAAGGCTTGGGGGGAAGGGAGATAAGAGAGAAAGCTTAGAACTGTAAAAATAGCCTAGTGAGCCACTTGCACATGCATCAGGCCTTTAAGACAAAGCCCAGACCAGGCTGGTGCTTTTTGCCCCTGCTAGGCTTTGACTTAGCAGTGTATGTGTGTGTCCCTGCAAATGATGGAATAAATCTATTCCTCACACTTCAGCTGTGAGTTGTGGCCATCTTGGTTAACCTGCATCTATCAATTCTTACAATTGTACTACAAAAAGTCAGGACTTCTGTTGACAAAAATCTTAGGCCCCACATGTCTGGCTAAATATGCTCTATGAACATACAAGTGCAATCTAATAACTGAAGTCTGTTAGGTCAGTCTATTCCTGACATATCCTGTTGTCATGTTCTCAGAGAAAGGTTAAAAATAAAAACACAGAAAAATACATATCTGCTTCTTATCACCTGGAAGTACACACTCAAAAACCTACTGAAATCCAAATTCAACCATCCCTGTATCCTCCAGGAACTTGTCAAGAAAGTTAATACTAAACTTGTCTAGTTCAAAAGCATGACACTGGTCAAGACCTTCTGTCTTCGAATCACAACTGAACCATTATTATTCTTAACTACTTTAAAAGTGATTCTCCATAAGCATAAAAAACTTTATCAAGTTGATAATGTTTCTCTTCTCAAGAATTCCTTCAGTTAGACCAGTCACCATCATCAACATTCAACTTGGAGGTATTCAAGCTTCAAAGGAACAAAACCAAACTCGTTTGTATGTTGAACATTCTGGGATATTCTGGAATATTACATTAGCACATACCAATATGCATACAGAACTGGGGAAATCAATAATACTACACAGTAGTCCCAAAACTGGGGGGGAAGGGGGGGAGGGGAGGAAGTCTAAACTTCATTATAGAGCAAAAATTCACTACTACTGTCTTTTATAGAGAAGATGTCTTTTAAGTTTTCAAAAAAAAAAAAAAAAAGGGATACAATAAGGATACAATATTGGATCTTCTAGTTGCTGAAACCATTTCTACCTGCAAAGTCCACAAATTCCTTACTGATTTGTTTGCTGACAACTCCAAGTTGTGTGGTGTGGTCAACACTCTAGAGGGAAGGGATGCCATCCAGAGGGACCTGGACAGGTTTAAGAGGTGGGCCCGTGCAAACCTCATGAAGTTCAACAAGGCCAAATGCAAGGTCCTGCACCTGGGTTGGGGCAATCCCAAGCATAAATATAGGCTGGGTGGAGATTGGATTGAGAGTAGCCCTGGGGAGAAGGATGTGGAACTACTGGAGCAAGTCCAGCAGAGGCCACAAAGATGCTCAGAGGGCTGGAGCACCTCTGCTATGGACACAGGCTGAGAGAGCTGGAGGTGTTCAGCCTGGAGAAGAGAAGGCTCCAGAGTGACCATAGAGCACCTTCCAGTAATTAAAGAGGCTCCAAGAGAGCTGGAGAGGGACTTCTGATAAGCCCCTGGAGTGAATGCCTTCACACCGACAGAGGGCAGAGTTAGATTGGATATTAGGAAGAAATTCTTGACTGTGAGAGTGATCAGGCACTGGATCACGTTGCCCAGAGAAGTGGTGGATGCCCCATCCCTGGAAATGTTCAAGGCCAGGTTGGATGGAGCTTTGAGCAACCTGGTCTAGTGGAAGGTGTCCCTGCCCATGGCACGGGGCTTGTAACTAGATGATCTTTAAGGTCCCTTCCAACTCAAACCTTTCTAGGATTCTATGATCATAGGAGGGTGAAGAGCCAGAGAAGTTATCATTTGCTGACAATATAATCTCCAAAATTGTATTCTATCTCTCAAAAAAAACCCCAAAGTAGACCAAAAAAAAAAAAAAAAAACCCAAAACTTCAAGTGCCAACAATTCCTAATTGTCCTGTGTTACATGAGAAGATATCTGCCAGGGTTGGTGCCATGGAATTCCAGACAACACTAGACAGATGTTAGAGGTTAATCTCAATTTTATGCCTCTCACATGCCTTTGTCCAGGAGCAAAAAAAAAAACCCCAAAAAATTAGCACCTTCCTTATTTTGTCTGGATTTAGCCCATATGGAATTTGACACTGGGTTATGAGCCTCTTGTTCATATATGTGCATGAGAAAGATACTGATCTTTGCTTTTTTCCAATCTAGCAAGTAGTGTATGTAAAGACTACATAGAAAGTGCTGTATTTCCCAGAAATATGGAAATTACAATTCAGTTGAGCAGACAAGTACCAGTTGATTGGTGCTCTGGTAGGCAAGTCTGCACTAATCTAGAATGATAAAGGAACTATCAAATGACACCAATCTGTAAAACTGAATGCAATGGCAGGCAGCTTTTTTAGTAGCTCAAAGAGCATCTCAGATATATAAAATTACCTTCCTTAACCTTGCTGTGGTCAAAAGATCCAAAAAAGGTGACAGCTTCAATGTGTAAACTGCAACAGTATCAGCACCAGACTTAAGATTTTTAACATGATCTTCTCACTTGTGGTCAGACAATTCCTGGCTGCTCTGTGGTATAGCTGATACTGGCCATTTTAGGATTAATTAACTTAATGAAGAATGAACAACTGCCTTATGCATTGTCTGTCAAATACAATGTCATGTTGGCAATTAGCTAAAAAGAAACTGTTGCAACCTCAAGCATATAATGAGGAGTAGATAAGCACAAGAGTAACATACCTTTTCTGATATATGTTTTTAATTTGCTATTATTTATGCAATCCCAAACATGTTTCAGCATGCAATTTGGGAAATAAGACTCACCTCAACTATACTAATCATATGAGGAAGCAGACGATCCATTCGAACTTCCAGCAACATTACCAGAGCACGACAAACATTTTTGAGTACTTCAGGCTCCTCATCACCAGCCAGTGCAAAAAGATTCTATTGGAAAGTAATACCAGTTGAAAAGCTTCAATTCATCTAGTTCAACTTGTATTTAAATTGACATTATTGGCTAACTAAAGTATGCAAATGTACTTCTGTACCATCCCACCCCACACCTCAGAAAACTGCATTATTTCCTAAACACATGGTTTAGCAAATGAAGTCTTTGGACTTTCAGTGTGTATTGTTACTCAGTGTTTTGGTCATGTATACATTAGACACAAGAACATTATTCCCTGAATTTTTTTCCCCTAAACATTAATGAAGTTCTGAAGCTAGAAAATGCCTTCAGAACATAACAGCAGCAAATAAAATACTCTGGATAACCCATAATCTAGACTCAGTGACATGATGATCCCTGTACAGAACTCTCAATCACAGGTAAGTGACAGACTACTGCCAATACCTCTCTAGAAAAAGTTTCCTCTATTTATGAAAAGGAAGAATTTTTCAAAATACTAATTTCTTGGGCTGGAAGAGTTCTTAGACTATTTTGAGCATAAATATGCAGAATGACCTTCAACTCATGGGGATTGAAGCTAAGAATGGGAAGCCATCAATGTGGAGTTTGAGGGTAGTGGTGGTTGTAAAACATTATTCAAAGTTCTTGATAAATTAGATATGTTATTTGACCTAACCCCCCCAACCAAGAATGCACACTCACCTCAATAAAAGAATCTATGTGCAACATAAGAGCTTGAGTTCTGCTGATGATGAATTGATTGACACACGCAACAGCATGAGACCTACAAATGGAACAGTTAAAATGTATGTTTTTCATGGATTAAACATTTTCTAAACTGCACATAGGCATCAAAAACATTAGGAAATAAATCACACTGTCCAAGCATCTTATAGAGGCAAGAGGGAACAAATCTGCACATCTATATTGTTACCAAGAGAAATTACTGAACCACATTTTAAAGTACCACCTTATACTACAATATATATAATAAATAATTTTAAATTAAGTATTCATTAAATAAAAAACATAGCAGGATGCCTATACCTGGCACATTTGTTCCAAACAGTATGCAAGGATGTTCTTTTTCATAATAATCATAATATACTATTATGATTCTTAATTTACTCTGATATTTACAATTCCATACAAGTCAACATGGTGACATTTTAGCATGCCCTTCTTCATTACTAAGTATCGAACTGCCTTGGCAAGATTTTTATAATATAATGAGACCAATATGCATCAGTAATATAGTTGTAGCTTAGAACAAATACACACTTTCATTAGGATATGTAATAAAACGCGGTAGAAACAAACTGAAAGTGAAGAACTGGTTCTTCTATTTCACTTCATGCAAAGCCATTGCTTACAAGTCTTTTTCATTCTCAGAGATACAAAAGCCACGTTATATAAGTAAAGGTACAAGATAAATCTACCTTTAAAAGCCTCTGAAGATCCATTCAAGTATTTTTACTAACATAACTCCAAACATCTAGTCTGTTCAGACATTTCTTGAAAGAAAGTCTCATAAACCAGTGTTCAAAAATTGTCTCTGGTCAGATTGAAATACTGTTAATATTTAAATACTGTTAAATACTAATAGTATTTTACTGACACTACAAATATTCTTCATACTTAAGCACTATGTACTGAAACCAGACCACAGGTCAGCAGGTGATCTGCTTTAAAGTTGAAACTGGTTTAACTATCTCAAAACCAAAGCTTATCTTTCTACAAGTGTCAGTTCATGCTTTGTTACATATTTTACTTAGTGTGCATCTATTTTAGGTGAGTTTTTAATCTTATTTAAATTCTATCAAGATATTCCTAGTTATGCTCTTTCTTTTAGTCTTCACCATCTGCTGGCAAAAACTGAACCCTCCAAGTTGTAAAATCTTTCAATATAATTTTCAAACAGGAGTCCAAAAACACATTTCAGAGAATCACATAGAGGTTGGAAGGGTCCTCTGTAGGTCAGCTGCTCAAGTAGGGCCACCTACTGCTGCTTGCAGAGGACCACATCACAATGGCTTTTGAATATCTCCAAGGATGGGGACTCTACCACATCTCTGGGTAACCTGTGCCAGTGCTTGGTTGTCCTCATGGTAAAAAAAGTGCTTCCCAATGTTCAGAGGGAACCTTCTGTCTCTCAGTCTTTGCCCATTGCTGCATGTCCTGTCACTGGACACAAATGAAAAGAGGTTGTCTCTGTCTTCTTTGCACCCTCCCTTCAGGTATTTACACACATGGATGATGTCACCCATGAGCCTTCTCTTCTCCAAACAGTCCCAGCTCTCTCAGTCTTTCCTCATAGGAGAGATGCTCCAGTCCCTTCATCATCTTTGTGGCCCTTCACTAGACTGTCTCCAGTAGCTCCATGTCTCTCTTGTACTTGGAAACCCAGAACTGGACACAGTTTTACAGGTGTAGCCTCACCTGGAGGGTGAGGGGAAGGATCTCCTCCCATGCTGGTAACACTCCAGCCCAGGATACCATTCACCTTGTTTGTGGCAAGGGCACATTGTTGGCTTATTTCAGAGTAAAAGCTACTGTTCTTGTTGACAAATATTAGCAATAACAAGTTAATTTTGGAATTTTTCTTCTATTCTATACTTCTGTTACTTTGGAGAGATTAATACTGTATTACAGTAAAAAGATCTTGAACCCATATAATTTTATCTAGCTGAAAGATAAAGAGTTTTATAAGTTTTGGTGCAGTTAAAGGAGGAAAATATTTTTCTGCAAGAACTCAGAAACTATTATCAGCAAATGATTTTTTACTCTTCCATTGATGCAGTGTCATAGATTTACTTGTTTTAAAAAAACCAAGGGGGAATTTTTTTCTTTCCCCTGCATCACTGTAAAAGAAAAATGTTGAACGGGGGAGGGTGGTTTTGCCTTGGGTGATTGACCCACACAAAATAACCAGGTGAGGAGTTATTTTTCTCTCCTCGGAAATGGGAGGCACTTCACTTTTGCCCTGACTCAGGCAGGGTGTGTGTTGGGAGGGGTCCAAGCTTCACTTTGTTTTCCACCTGCTCACCTGGCTGCTTCTGGCCCGTTTCCCTCCGATTTCCTGCGCCCTGTTCTGCCCCCAGCCCAGACCTGCTTGGACTTCATCAGAGAGGTTTGACCCATCTGTAGAGGAACCTTTTGGGGAGGAGGTCGCCCTTTCCCTCCTCTGCTCCCATATTGGCAGCGGCGTGTTCCCATCAATGAAAAGGGGGCAATCCTGGTCAGAGCCAGCTGCTGACAGCGTGAGTTTCATGGGAAGAGCCTCCCTTTTCCCTTCCCCTTTCCAGTAGGGGAAGATGATCTCCATTTTTGGCTTCTCCTGCACACCGGGGCCCCATGCAGTGACCACCAGAGCCCAGCAGCGCCTCCTGCCAACCACCACGGAGCAACTGCAGGCTCTGCTCCTCCAGTGATCCAACAGCGCCCCCTCCCAATCGTGGTTAGAATTGCGCCAAAAGGCAGAAAATACTGAACTGTTTCCTTTTTGAAGGGGACTTTGGGTGCAGAATTATTGTTTAGTTGTTTTTGTGTTCTTTTGTTGTTCTGCCAATGCACATATATCCTTTAATGAAGGGCTTTTATCTTTTCTTTCTCCACACTTCCTCAATCGGAGCCTCTTAATTTCGGATTTAAAATTGCTTGGAGGGAGGAGTTTGGTCTTCCTCATAACTCATCCTCCCTAGCAAAACACTTCAGTCTCATTAAACTGAGACATGCAGTCATAACAAAATTAATGCAAGATAGTTGTTTCTAATCAGAATATGAAATTTTAGCCACAGCATTGAAATTTTCATAATAATATGCAAAATATTTAAAAAATTGATTTTTAAAGTCAGACAGTGTTGGGTACCAGGCAGACATTAGGCCTGGGAAAGCAGGTGCAGTTGCTCAGCAAGAGGCCTCAGAGATAAGGATGGAATCCAGCAAACGGCCTTGGACACTCAGTGAGAGTGAGAGAAGAAGCTGCTAAACTTCTGTGGAAGAACATCATGGGGCAAACACCTGCAGCTCAAGTTAAAACTGAGAAAAAAGGACTTTTAACCTCTGCCTTACCTGTAGAAAAAAATATAGCCTTATATGTAGCAATACCAGTGCCATATGATAGTGTAAAAGAGTTCAGATAGAGTGAATAAGTTTTGAAAAATTGTATAACTGTGTGGCAAGTAGTTCCCTGCATGCTCCCTGCCCTGTAGTCTGCAAAATCCTTGTGCTAGGTGTGATAAATATGCTTAATGTAAACATTGCATTCCAGAATTGGCTCTTCAGCCATTTCTGGTGCTGCTCTCCACTTCCCCTCACCCTGCTGTGCGCGAGACGAAGAGGACGAAGAATAAAACCCTTGTTTTTGCTGCTGCAGTCAAGCTCTCTTTATTTCACCACCAAGCCTGCAGACAGCTAGGGACCAAAAAAGTTGGAGAGCTGGTTTAGGGAAGTGGACGTCAGCAAGAAAGATTCTAGATTTGGAAAATGTATAAAGAGGTGAGGATGAACTAAACAGATAAGTATGGAAATTACTGATGCATGAAATTTCTGTGCCTTCACTTCTCACATTTGCATATGCAGGATCATTTAAAAAAACTAAGCATGTTTTAAACCGATCTACAAAATATCAACCTTGCTGCTCATGTAAATAATTTTTTAACAGATAACTTTAGTATAACACCTACCTTATTTTTGGACTGCTGTGTTTGAAGAACTGCAAGAATTTAGGTATCATGACATTGAGTGGTCGGTCCAATACATCACTATCTAAAATTTCAGCAGAGTCTTCACATATCTTCTGAAGAGCACCAAATGCACCCTGTTTAAAAACAAACAAAACCCAAAAAACCCAAAAAATCTGTTCTTTTAAATTTTGAAGAAAGTAACATTTTAGGTTTTGTACAGAACACAATTTTAGCAAAAGACCACAGTAAATGGAGTTAATTAACAAAGTAAACATAGCTGACTAAATATGGAGTTTAATTAAAATAAAGACTTTTTATTTAGGCACTTTATACTATCATCTGTAAGATGTCAAGCTGGATGAGTCTATAACAGGTAAGCGGCAATTTAATTTTAACATTCAATGCTCATTTATGTATTCATATTAATAAAAATGCTTAAAAGCAAGATTTTTTAAAAATCAGATAACTTTTTTTCTTCATAGCTTAAAACAGTTAAGCTGGTATCTATTTTCCTTCATAAACACTGAACAAAAAAGATTATATATGTGCATATACACACATACAAAATACTATACATATATATAGTATCTATGAAGAGAGAAAAAATATATTAAAATTTAAATACTAATCCATTTAAAAATAAGCCTCTTTACCTCACAGGTATTATAATCTTCAGAATCCAACAGGCTGCAAAGCTTTGGTAAGAGGTCAGGCCAATTCTGTAATTCCCCTTTTGAAGCAATGGTTGTTATCAGAATGCCTAAGTGAATCAGAGGGATAAAGGAAATGAGATCTCGTATATCTTTACAGGTTTCCCACCAATTTTTCTCATTTTAGTCTTCTAAAAGATCTAAGGAGTTAAGAAATTTATTGTTTTATTAAGAGCTGGCCAACATAAAAAGAGGAAGTACATTTAATTACAAATGGTATTTGAAAGGCTTTGAAATGCAAAGGCAGGTTGCTCCTTCCTGCTATCATGAAGGGCTCAGATGTGAGAAGTCAAGCACAAAGTAATTCCAGTTAAGGTAGTAATCATGTCCAAATACTCCAGGGAAGGTTCTGCTCTATCTTTACTAAAAACTGTACAAATCTTGACCTCCAATAAACATAGAGTAATATCCAGCTCAAGTCACCCCCTCTTTATTATGATACAAAGGCAGGAACATCAAAAGATGTCATTCTAAAAAATTATAACCCATTGCTAAATTATGTGTTCACAACTCTACTATGTTTACACAAAACATTAAGAGCACATGCTGATGTCCAGGTGTTAGAAAGATAAATTCAACTTGCTGGTAGAATTGCTTTGTTAAGGTTTAGGGCTGGACATACTTCAATGATCTCAGACCTAGTGGGAGGTTAACAAAGCTTGGGAAGAAGGATGTACCACTGCAAGTGGACACGAAGAATGCAGAATGTATGGGCCACAAGGACATCTGGCAGAACTCCCAAGATAAGGAAGAAACTAATAAAACCAACTCAGCAACTGTGCAGAAATCAGCTCCAACTGTGTAAAAGATAATTCCAGCAGGGGAAGATTGCAACCATTGACTCACGGACCAACGACCCCAGAAAACCACCAACCCAAAAGAAGAGGAAGACTGAGCATGTGGACTAATTAGCATGGGAAGTGAGAGAATCATTAACCAGTAGGAGGTAGAATACTAATTAATAAGAGAACTATGTAACTTGTAACCAGTGAGCATTAATGCCTTTGTTAAAATGTAAAAATAGTATAAGGTTTTGATGATCAGGGAGCCAGTCTTTTGTGGGTTACCACTCAGCTCCCTACTTTGCACCAAGTAGAATAAAAAAATAAAAATACCTTGCCTCAGTGTGTTAATTAGCACTGTGCACAGGGCAGCAAGCCCACATTCTAAGACAGATACCTAAGAGCTTACACACTATGGCAGGTCATCCAGTGATCAGCTGTACGGGTTGGCTGATTCAGATCTAGCAAATAGAGAGGATAGCCCAGAGAGTCATTTCCATTTTCAACACTGCAGTGGGTTTCTGTGGCTGGGTTTTGGTAGCAGGGGGGGCCACAGGGGTGGCTTCTGTTAGAAGTTGCTAGAAGCTTCCCCTGTCCCGTGGAGCCAATGCCAGTCGGCTCCAGGACAGACTTCCTGCCACTGGCCAAGGACAGGCCCATCAGGAGTAATAGTAACGCCTCTGGGATAACATATTTAAGAACAGAAGGTTGTTGCACAGAAAGAATTCCAGCCAGGGAAGAGCAGAGTGAGAACATGGGAACAACAAAGTAGACACCAAGGTCAGTGCAGAAGGAGGGGGAGGAGGCGCTCCAGGCTGCCGGAGCTGAGGCCCCTGGAGCCCCTGGTGCAGACCATAGTAGAGCAGGTTGTCCCCCTGTGGCCCATAGAGGACCATCAGGGTGCAGAGACCCACCTGCAACCCATGGAGGAGCCCATGCTGGAACAGGAGGAGGAGCCCATGCATGAAGGAGGATGTGACCCCGTGGGAGGTCCAAGATGGAGCAGGGTCCTGTTGGGGACCTGCAGCACATGGAGAGGGAAGCCCATACTGGAGCAGATTTTTCCCAGGTAGGACTTGTGGTCCCTGTGGGGGACCCATGTCGGTACAGCACATCCATGAAGGACTGACCCCATGGAGGAGGGACCCACAGGACAGTAGTTTGGGAACAACTGCTGTTTGAGGGATGGACTCACGCCGGAGAGGTCCATCAAGGACTGTCTCCCATGGGAGGGACCCCACAGGAGCAGCGGAAGGACTCCTCTCTCTGAGCAGTGGCATAAACAACAACTGACCGCAACCCCCATTCCCGTCCCCCTGCACTGCTGGGAGGGAGAACATGGAAGGAAGGAGGGGTGGGGGGAAGGTGTTTTTAAGGCTGTTTTATTTCTCACTCTTTGGCTCTTATCCTGTTAGTAATAAATTTAAGTACTATCTCCACTTTCAGTCTGTTTTGCCCATGAAGGTAATCAGCAAGTGACCTCTCCCAGTTCCTATCTCTACTCATGAATCCTTAGCTGTTGTGTTTTTTTCTCTCTTCTCTCTCCTCTGTCCAGTTGCAGAGGCAGAGTGAGAGAGTAGCTTTAGTGGGTACCTGGTATCCATCCAGGGTCAAATATCCCAGGAAAAATTAATTAGGTGACAAGAATGGGGAAAGCTGCTTATAAACTTGGACTGACTATGAGTCCATTTTGCCTCAATTAGTAATCTCCCAAGTGACAAGTGATTAAAAAAAAAGCTTCCCTAAGTTTTTCATTGAGCTAATCATGCAATATCCTTTTTCTTTGGAATAAAACGTTAAAACTGTTATGAAATATACAAGAATACAGGACCATATTACATAGACACCTCCTAAATACATGCATTTATTTCCTGGTAAGTTTGTGGGTCCTCAACATATGCAACTGTAGTTTTTGAAGTTGAATCCATATTTCAATGTTGGCACAAGGGTTTTTAAAACCTGTACCGCACAGCACAGAGAAGGCAGCAGGGGTCTCGGTTTTCAGTCTTTCCCCTGCTGTAGGGGGAGAGGGAGGCCTCCCCGGGCCTCTTCCTCCCCCCTCCTGCTTCACTGACCTTGGAGTTTACATTGCTATCTCATGTTCTCCTCTGCTCTCCTCTGAGCTGGAATTTCTTCTGCACCATGTCTCAGCCGGTCAGTTTCTCTCTAGAGTTTTTTCTCCACTTTATTACATGTCTCGACCAGGGCGAGCTTCAGTGTCACACCTGCCCCCAGCTCAGGGCCGGGGCGAGGAAGGGGGCCTGACCCACACCTGGGGCCTGCCGCCTCCCCCCTACATGGCTCCTAATTTCTTCTGCGCAACACACCTTGTCTTCTTCTGTTCTTAAATATGTTATCACAGAAGCAAATATCATTGGCTAGTAGTAGGAAGTCCATCTTGGAGCTGGCTATCATTGGTTTTTTCATAGAATAGCAAAAGCTTCTAGTAGCTTCTAATTGAAATTATCTCTAGGGCCCCCTATTACCAAAAATTCAGCCACGTGAACCCATGACACCCCTGTAGTCCCACCTCTTAGTAAAACCTGGCCATGCAAACCCTTTACAGCATCTTAAAGAGTATCTATGACTAACAAAGGCCAACTCATATGCTAAGAAGGCAGCCTAGGCAGATAGCAATATTTTTACACCTAGCTAGTTTGAAGAGACCAGTGAGTAATGGACCAACCTCACTATTAAGACACAAACCTACATGGATACAATACTTAATTACTTCACACAGGAGGGTGAAAAAATACTAAATAGCAACTCTTACTATGTAAGCATACAAATAATCAGTTGGTATGCATCTTCAGAGTTCAAATATGCTTGAATAATCTTTGTAAGGACCACTTATAGCTCAACAGTAATTGAGCTATGAATTCAAAAATGTTTCCTCAAATCAAACAAATCAAACAATAAAATGCTCAAAAACCAAAATGCTCAAAACATAGCCTGCAACCTGCCACCTCCCCTAGCTGTCACCACCACCAAATCACCCTAAGAGAGAAATCCAAACAGCTGTTATATATTCGCCTGAGGGAACTGGCTGATGTAGTTGCCAAGCCGCTCTCCATGATATTTGAAAAGTCATGGCAGTCAGGTGAAGTCCCAGATGACTGGAAAAGGGGAAACATTGTACCCATCTTTAAAAAGGATAGAAAGGAAGACCCTGGAAAGTACTGACCTGTCAGACTCACCTCTGTGCCTAAGAAGATCCTGGGACAGATCCTCCTAGAAACTATGCTAAGGCACATGGAGGACAGGGAGGTGATTTAAGACAGCATGGTTTCACCAATTGCAAGTCCTGCCTGACCCACCTGCGGCCTTCTACAACAGACACTACATCAATGGACAAGAGAAGGGGTACGGATGTCATCCACCTGGACTTCTGTAAAGCCTTTGACATGGTCTCCCATAACATCCTTCTCTCTAAATTGAAGAGAGAGATGGATATAAAGGATGGACTGTTTGGTGGGTAAGGAATTGGTTGGACAGTCACATCCAGAGGGTTGTGGTCAATGGCACAGAGTCCTGATGGACATCAGTGGCAAGTGGTGTCCCTCAGGGGTCTGTATTGAGACCAGTGCTATTCAATGTCTTCATCAATGACATAGACAGTGAGATCAAGTGCACTGTCAGCAAGTTTGCAGATGACACCAAGCTGAGTGGTGCAGTTGACACACTTGAAGGAGGGGATGGCATCCAGAGGGACCAGGACAAGTACAAGAAGTGGGTCCATGGGAACTTCATGAGGTTCAATAAGACCAAGTACAAGGTGCTGCACCTGTGTCGGGGCAACCCCCAGCATCAGTACAGCCTGGGGAATGACCAGATCAAGAGCAGCCCTGCCGAGAAGGACTTGGGAATGCTGGTGGATGAGAGGCTGGACTTGAGCCAGCAGTGTGTGCTTGCAACCCAGAAAGCCAACTGTATCCTGGACTGCATTAAAAGCAGCACATCCAGCAGGTTGAGAGAAGTGATTCTGCCCCTCTGCTCTGGTGAGACTCCATCTGGACTACTGCATCCAGGCTCTGGGGGCAATGGAAGGACATCAATCTGTTGGAGCGAGTCCAGAGGAGGCCACGAAGCTGATTAGATGGCTGGAACACCTCTTCTATGTGGAAAGGTTGAGAGAATTGTTGTTCAGCCTGGAGAAGAGAAGGCACCGGGGTGACCTTATAGCAGCCTTCCAGTACCTGAAGGGAGTCTACAAGAGAGATGGAGAGGGACTTTTTACAAGACTCTGGAGTGACAGGACAAGGAGGAAT